GGACGATGGACGGGGCCATGTACCGTCAAATCTTGGGTGAGAACCTCCTTCCCTCAGCAAGGGCATTGAAAATGGGTCGTGGATGGGTATTCCAGCATGACAATGACCCAAAACACACGGCCAAGGCAACAAAGGAGTGGCTCAAGAAGAAGCACATTCAGGTCCTGGAGTGGCTTAGCCAGTCTCCAGACCTTAATCCCATAGAAAATCTGTGGAGGGAGCTGAAGGTTCGAGTTGCCAAAGTCAGCCTCGAAAACTTAATGACTTGGAGAAGATCTGCAAAGAGTGGGACAAAATCCCTCCTGAGATGTGTGCAAACCTGGTGGCCAACTACAAGAAACGTCTGACCTCTGTGATTGCCAACAAGGGTTTTGCCACCAAGTACTAAGTCATGTTTTGCAGAGGGGTCAAATACTTATTTCCCTCATTAAAATGCAAATCAATTTATAACATTTTTGACATGCGTTTTTCTGGATTTTTGTTGTTGTTATTCTGTCTCTCACTGTTCAAATAAACCTACCATTAAAATTATAGACTGATCATTTCTTCGTCAGTGGGCAAACGTACAAAATCAGCAGGGGATCAAATACTTTTTTCCTTCACTGTAGGTGCCTTTCTGGGTCTGAGTCTAGACTACATGAGTTTATGAGTTTCTATATATTTAGAGTTTATTGCTCCCGATGTGAGCATATGGGTCCCTATGACAGTATGGGCATCCATATGAGACGTCTACAATTTGGAGCTTCACGGAGGAGAGGGGTGCGTGGGTGCAAGAGATGAAAGCGAGCCCAGCGGGTCGCCCCGCTTTCCACGTCACGAACGGCAAGCGGATTTCAAACGCGCGCCTCTGACGGCCGCCACGCCGCAGATGAAAGCGCACGGAGACGCGGACACCGGCACGGGAACGACACCAAGCGGCACGCGCGGCCCCCGCGGCGGGGAGGCCGGAGGGCCGAGGACCGAGGGGGCAGCGGCCCCGTGGCGGGGAGGCCGGAGGGCGCTCCGCTCAGCCACCTCTGCTGCCCCCACCGTCTGGAACTACCTTCCCCCAGCCATCCGTGCTGTGTGCAAGGCTCAAGAGTTCCTCACCTCCCTCTGCCTGTAACTGACCACCTCTCTCGAAAAGATAACCATGCCTACCCGCGTCAGGACAGCGTCTTGAGATGCGGTCACATTTACACGGCGCTACATAAATCCGCACGGTGCACAAGCACGGGGCACGCGCGCGGTCCACCCAGCCGGGCTCACCAAAAACGCAATATCACCAAAGCCAAGTCCAGCAATGAAGCAGAGAGAAATTTGATTGCGAGAGAGGTCAGAGTTGGCTTGATGGAGGAAGCCTTCATCCAGCAGTGGATTGGCCACGATTGATGTTGATGCGGATTGTCGCACCGATGGGAACGACTCGGTACCAGCCCCCTCCGCACAGAGGAGGTGACGAGGAGCGGTAATGATAGCAGAGCCAGATCAGCCTCCAGTGCTCATTTAAATATCCACACTTTCATTACAAAATGTCACCGGAGCCGTAATTGAGAATGTCAATCATGAATATCGTACTCTGTGTGGCAATAGCGCCATCGCATTGGCAATACGAAGACATTAACAACCTCTTTAACCTCCTCACAGCAACGTGCCGCGTATTTCTCCAAATCAGCGTACACACATAAAGACAATGATTCCCCCCCACCTAGCCATCGCCAGACTGTTTGGGCATGTGCTGTTAGCGAGCACCTGTTAAGGCTGCCCCAGTAGCGATGTTTACACACCGTATGCGTGAGTGTGTGCGTGTTGTGGGGAGCGGCAGTGTAGCGGTTAGCGCGACGCTACGCCACGAACCTGGCGACATGGCTTCAATTCCCGCTCATGACCAACACCAGTGACAATTATCTGAACCGGTCCTAGGCCTCCCCTCGGTAGATTCGGCCTAAAGTGAGTACCCGGTGCAATGTGTGAACATCGCCACTGGGGAGACAAAGGCAGCCAGGTGTGGTGCTGGCCACCCACCCCCTCGTGTGCCGTGCCGCGCTTCATAGGTGATGGCTAACAGCACTTTCCCCAAGAGGCTGTTAAGGCTATAGCAGGGATCTTTGCTGTATCTTTATTTGGGGCGCAGAAGCGCAGTGGTTAGTGCACTGCACTAGTTCGATTCCCACTTACGGCCAAGATCCGTACCAGTCTAGCGCATACCCGAGGTCAACTCAGCCTTAAATGAGAAGCCGGTGTGCTGTGGAAACATCAGCATTGGGAAGACAAAGGCGGCTTAGCGTGTGTCGTGCTGGCCCTAGTAGCTGCTCACAACAGCACTTGCCCTAGCAGTCTGTTGAATGCTAGATGGGGGATATTTGTCCTGGCAGTGTGGGCATTGACCGCGTGTGTGAGCAGGCGTGATCGGGGTGGTGTGCACGGCCTGCGTTGGGTTGCGTCTCCGTGCCGGGCTGGCGAGACCCGGCTGTGCATCCCAATGAGCCCATTAGCCGAGTAATTAATGCCGATGCCGCGCAGTCGTACGGATGGACGGAGCGAACGTCCGGGCGGACGCACGTGCAGCGGTGGTGAGCACGGCTCGCCAGTTCCTGCCGACGCGAGCACACCGCAACTGAACCGGCCACACCGTGCCACGCCGTGTTCCGGCCAGCACATCCATCCACCTCCACGCCGCACCGAAAACAAACGTCACAAACACGTGACGGCCCGCCAGGTCTCGCCGGCACGGTCCGCACCACGCCACGTCCGGATGTACCGTGGCGGCACGCCACGCCGGTCCAAATGTAAGCGTACCACACCACGGACCGCCACATCGCTGGCGCCGCCGGACCGAGTGACGGCGCCAGCTCCCAGCTGGACGACATTGTGACCACCGTGGTCGCCACGAACGCACGGCGTGTCCCTGGCTTGCTCTGGAGACCATCACCGTCGTCATCGCTACGAACATCGTCGTCGTCGTGGTGACTGTCATCTATTTGCACCCACTGCGTGGCGGACTCTGCGGGGGTTCGAGTGACGGCTGCCGGCTGTGTACCGCACTGCACCGCCCCACCCCCCGCTGAGTTTTTCAAATTATTATTGAGCTAAAGCTGAACGGCTGCCACACACACACGCACACGCCACACACGCACAACGCACACACACCACGCACGCACACCGCACATCACCACACACACACTACAAACACGCACACTAAACACACACGCACACTACACAAACACGTACGGTACAAACATCCCCCGTATAGCCTTAACAGACTGTTGGGGCAAGTGCTGCCAGCGAGCACCTGTGAAGAAGGAAACTGCACACGAGGGGGTGGCGTGATTAGTACCACGACCGCCCGCCTTTGTCTCCCTTGCGCTGATGATTACACAGCGCACCCGAGTACGCATTTAAGGTTGAGCCGACCTTCGGGAGGACCAGGATCAGTTTAAACATTCGCTGCCTTCGTTATTGGACTTGAGCGGGGATCAAACTGGGTCTGTACCGGGTTCGTGGTGCAGTACAGCGCTAACCACTGCGCCAACACCACGCTCACAATCACTTACACTCACCCTCACACTCGTGACATGGCGCACGAGGGGTTAGGTGGCCAGAACCACACCCGGCCGCCTTTGTATCCCTAGTTGCCATGTTTACACACCGCACCAGGTACTCATTTGAGTCTACCAAGGGGAGGTGCAGGACGAGTTTAAATAATCGTCAACTGGTGTTGCCCGTGAGTGGGAATCAAACTCGGGTCGCTGGGTTCGTAACGCAGCGTAGCGCTAACCGCGACTACCCCCCCCCCCCACACACAATAATGCACGCCCGTCGAGAGACGAATGAGAGTATGACACAATACACGACCAACACGCAGAGGAACGAACACGTGAGTGTAAAACCATACCCCACACGCACGCACAACGGGAGGGTGTGTGTGTGCATGCGTGCATATGTGCGCGTTTGTTCATGGACGGGGAGCGATGGTGCAGCGGTTACCGCGCTGCGCTACGAACCCGGCCACCGATCCCCTCGTGTGTCGTGCCGGCCTTCACAGGTGCTCGCTAACAGCACCTGCCCCAAAAGTCCGTTAAGGCGATAAGGGGGCCCTTTATCTCGTGTGTTCACAGATTTATTCTGTCCAGGTTAAAAACCTCAATGTCACATCAGCCCCTGACACATCAGTCGCTGCCACATCAAGCACTGACACATCAGCCCCTGACACATCAGCCCACACATGGAAGCTAAGACACAGCAGCGCCTTGGCACAGGAGCTTCTGAGCCAGCTGTCCTCCCACGCTCACAGGAACAGTGACCCAATTGTTCGTTCAAAAAGAGCCCAATTTGCGATATTAATAACAGGTGATCGTTACAATCAGTGAGGTCCCATCCTACACGGCGCCACCACGGCTTGACAGCGCGTCCTCGGTGGGGGCTGGGGGGGGCCTTCAACAGCCCCCCACATCACACAAGCCCCCCCCCACGACTCCGGGTAAATCGTTCTGGAGTGGCAGCTTGTCACTTAGGCTGGGATCGCCCCCCCTTCACACCCACGTCTCATTCCTAAGACCCCCCACATTCACCCCCACATTCACCCCCACCCCCCTGTCCTCCACACATCCTGCCGCTCCGCTCCTGTCGGCCACGATCAACATCAGTGGCGTCTGGCAGTGCCGCGCTGCTGGAACACCCCTGTACCCCAGGGGATTCTACCCCGACCCCCATTGCCACCCACCCTCCCTAACCCTACCCCCCTAGCCCCATCTGTCCTTCCTCGGCCACATCACAACACGCGCCGCCGTCGCTGCTGCTGCTGCTGCTGCCGTATCGGCTCACGCCGACAGTTGCGAATGAAGAAAACATTTCTTGTTTGAAAACAAAGGCATTGCGCGACGCACCACATAACTACACATTTCGCAGCCAAATAGCGTTAGCTAGCGAGCCAGGAAGTCAGCGAGCCAGCAAGTTGGCCAGCGAGCGAGCGAGCCAGCCAGTGAGCCAGCGAGTGAGTGAGCGAGCAAGCGAGTCCTTACCTTCCCAAAGTCCTCCGATGTCGCCCTCATCTCCTTCCAAGTCTTGTTGAGCAACTGGATGCAGACGCAGAACATCTCCTCCATGGCGCGATCGTGCGTGAAGAACATGGGACAGAAGTCCTGGCCGGTCTCCGTGGCTGCCGCGCACAAATACACAGAGCCCGTTATAGGGATGGGCGCTGTGGTGGACACGCACCAAAAGTCACGGGGCCTTCGACTCGAGGAGTCAAACGGCACGGCTCGCAGCGGCCACGGCCGGACCAGTCCAGCGGCAACGCACTCGTTCACCGTGCGCGTGACGAGAGGGAGGGGACCCGCAGCCGGCGCGACGGAGACGCGGTTCCACCGCAGCTCCACGGGCACCGTGGGGGGAGGCGGCCATTCTTCATCTTCCCTGTGACAGGGACAGCTGGCAGTGGGAAGGCCGGCACGATATGTTCTAGGAATTGTGGCCGCGTCGCACTTGGGGTCACGTCCCTCATCGTCCACCAAATTGCTTTGTCTGAGAGTTTGTGAATGGCAAATGCGCCCCCCTTAATGTTCATCGTTCGGGCGATGCAAAGTTGTGTGGTCACAGCATGGGGTGGCGGCTGTGTTTTGCCATCGACGGCGGAGGGGGACTTGTCAATGAGCTTGGCCGCTGCTGCTACCGGGGGGCCGGTCGGTGCGGCCTGCCTGACCGTGGGCCCCCTCCGGCCACGCGCGACTGTCGTCGGTGCAACAACGGAAGAACAGCGCCCCTCTCCGAACCGTCCGGGCGCCCGTGGCGCCCTCGACTCCCTCCACACACCCCCCCCACCCCATCGTACACGGATGAGCGCTCGATTCATCGTGCGTGCCGCGGGCTCCGTGGCCACGCGACTGCCGCCATGAGCTGACTCGAGTCGAGCGAGCGAGCGACACGCACACCACCGCTGGACCCCGGAGAGGTCGGCCACTCGGGGCCGGCTGGCCGGAGGGCCAAGCGGTGACGTCGCTCGTGCGGCGCACAGAGGTCGGGCAACGGTGCTGAGCCACGTTGACAGAACACCACACACACCGCACATCACCACACACACACTGCACATCACCACACACACCGCATACCAACTCACAACACACTGCACAACCACAGACACCGCCACACACACCGCACATAACCAAACACACACTGCACACCACACGACAGCACACACAAACCACACACACCGCACATCACCACAAAGACAAAGATCCCCCATATAGCCTTAACAGACTGTAGGGGCAAGTGCTGTTAGCGAGCACCTATGAAGGCCGGTAACAGTACACGAGGGGGTGGGTGGCCAGCACCACGCCCGACCGCCTTTGTCTCCCTAGTGGCAATGTTTACACACCGCACCAGGTACTCATTTGAGGCTGAGTCGACCTAGGGGAGGCCCGGGACCGGTTAAGATAATCGTCACTGGTGTTGACCGTGAGCGGGAATCGAACCCGTGTCGCCGGGCTCATAGCGCAGCGCGCTAACCGCTACACTATCGCTCCCCACACATACCACCACACACACCGCATGCCACCACACACACACCGTACCCCACCACACACACCGCCACACACACACCGCACATCACCATACACACACACCGCACACCGCCACACACACACCGCACATCACCATACACACACACCGCACACCACCACACCGCCCCATACACACCGCACACCGTCACACGCAACGACCACCGTCACACGCAACGATACACACCGCGACCCACACTGCACGCCACACGGTCACACGAACCGCACACCACCACACACACAACAACCGCCATTCGCCACTAGGTGGCGGTGACGTCACCACGACGCTTGTGCCAGGCCATGTGCCAGGCCATGTGCACTTTGAGGCCACGTGAAGTGTCGAACGCCCGCTGGCAGGAGGTCACGGGGCAGACCCAGGTGCCACGGGTCGACTGAGATGACTGGCTGGTGCACCACCTGTGCCCCCTACTGTGCCAACCTGCTGTGCTTTAGCCACCCGGCGCTCCGCTCGTTGTTGTGAGCGTCGCTCCTACGCCTTCCGTTGTTGTTGGAGGGCGACTGCCTCCAACTGCCCAATAGCGTCCTTCACGCGCCTCCTCCACAGAGGCCGATCTTGACACCGCTGGTACCAGTCATCGGCAAGTCCACACAGCTCCACATCCTCCTGTACCACATCACTCCATCTCTTCTCTAGCCCGTGCCGCGCCCGTTTAGCCACCTCGATCCGGCCGAACAGAAGCTGTTTCGGCATGCGGGGGCTGGACATGCGGGCTACATGACCCAGCCAACGCAGCCTTGCCTGCCGGAGGAGCTCACCGATGGGATCTTGCCCAGATCTTTCAAGGATTTGTGAGCTCCTCACACAATCCAGCCTGGTTAAACCCAGGTTGGATCGTAGGCAGGCCAGCCTAAATGTTTCCAACCGGCGAAGATGCTCCATTAAGGGGGTCCACGTTTTGCAAGCGTAGAGAAGGGAGGGAATGACCGTGGCCGAGAAGACCTGAAGCTTAGTGCGGAGCGACAGACCAGGTAGCTTCCACACAGCGTTACGCAAACGATGAAAAGATATTGCCGCTCGATTGATTCGGAGTGAGACCTCTGCTGTTAAACTGGAACCAGTCATAAGCACACTGCCCAAGTATGGGAAACTCTCCACTCTCTCCACAACTGCCCCATCACCGATTTGGAGTTGTGGGGGTGGAGTGTCCGATGGTACAAAATACCCAGGCAGGTGCTTAGTTTTGGTGGGGCTGATAGTAAGGCCCCATCTCTTAGTGGCACGCTCCAGTCTCAGCAGCAACGTCTCCAATTCCTCCTCTGAATGATGGTTGAGCAATAGGGAGCCATCCCTTGACCGCACCCGGGCATCGATCAGCCTCCCATTATCTGTACCAAATGGAGATTCCCCCGGTACAGCTATTGAAGGCTTCACGAACTACGTGGTTAAAATAGATGTTAAATAATGTGGGAGCCAGAGGACATCCCTGTCGCACCCCAAGGTGTACAGGGAATGGCTCTGACTCCCGGCCACGTACTTTTACCCGGGCCACACACACACACACACATCAAAACACGCACACCGCACACCTCACCACACACACGCCGCACACCACCACACACTACTACAGAACACACACACGCAGTCACGATCCCGTGTCACCGCACACCGTGTCAGACAGCGCTGTCGCGCATCGCAATCACGCGCCACGACCAGAGGTCGTGACCCGGCTGCCGAGCGGCAAGAGCGGTCGCCGCTGTTTGTGAATTCGGCTTCTGAAGACGAAGCCCTCCTCTTCTTCCTCCTCTTCCTCCTCACCGCCCCGTCGGGGGGGAGGGGGGGGAGTGCCCGCGGGAAGGCAGGGCAACCCGAGGTTAACACGCGCCACGCTCTGCTCTGCGTGGCGCGTGTTGTGCGTCGCTCACCGGGTCCCCCGCCACGGACCGTGCTGCCCGAGGCGCTCATTTAACCGCTTGGAACGTCTGCGGGGACGAATCACGACGCGAGCCGAGACGCTCACAGCAGCGTCGCTCAACCACAGCACACTCTCCCTCATTCCTTTATCTCTCACACACACACACTCATCCTATCATTTAAAACACACTCACTCTCAAACCATCATTTCATAATGCATTCTCTCAACCCACTATCTCACTACTCACACTCAACCCACTATCTCACTACTCACACTCAACCCAGCATCTCACTACTCACTCTCAACCCACTATCTCACTACTCACACTCAACCCACTATCTCACTACTCACACTCAACCCACTATCTCTCTACTCACACTCAACCCAGCATCTCACTACTCACTCTCAACCCACTATCTCACTACTCACACTCAACCCACTATCTCACTACTCACACTCAACCCACTATCTCACTACTCACTCTCAACCCACTATCTCACTACTCACACTCAACCCACTATCTCACTACTCGCTCTCAACCCACTATCTCACTACTCACACTCAACCCAGCATCTCACTACTCACACTCAACCCAGCATCTCACTACTCACACTCAACCCACTATCTCACTACTCACTCTCAACCCACTATCTCACTACTCACACTCAACCCACTATCTCACTACTCACGCTCAACTCACTATCTCACTACTCACACTCAACCCACTATCTCACTACTCACACTCAACCCAGCATCTCACTACTCACACTCAACCCACTATCTCACTACTCACACTCAACCCACTATCTCACTACTCACTCTCAACCCAGCATCTCACTACTCACTCTCAACCCAGCATCTCACTACTCACACTCAACCCACTATCTCACTACTCACACTCAACCCACTATCTCACTACTCACACTCAACCCACTATCTCACTACTCACTCTCAACCCACTATCTCACTACTCACTCTCAACCCAGCATCTCACTACTCACACTCAACCCAGCATCTCACTACTCACACTCAACCCACTATCTCACTACTCACACTCAACCCACTATCTCACTGCTCACACTCAACCCAGCATCTCACTACTCACTCTCAACCCACTACTCACTACTCACACTCAACCCACTATCTCACTACTCACACTCAACCCAGCATCTCACTACTCACACTCAACCCACTATCTCACTACTCACACTCAACCCACTATCTCACTACTCACACTCAACCCACTATCCCACGAACTCACACTCAACCAGCATCTCACTACTCACACTCAACCCACTATCTCACTACTCACACTCAACCCACTATCTCACTACTCACACTCAACCCACTATCTCCTACTCACACTCAACCCAGCATCTCACACTGACCCACTATCTCACTACTCACTTCTACAAACCCACTATCTCACTACTCAACACTCAACCCACTATCTCACTACTCACACTCAAACCCACTATCTCACTACTCACCTCTCAACCCACTATCTCACTACTCACTCAACCACAGCATCTCACTACTCACACTCAACCCACTATCTCACTACTCACACTCAACCCACTATCTCACTACTCACACTCACCCACTACCACTCTCAACCCACTATCTCACTACTCACACTCACACCACTATCTCACTACTCCTCTCAACCCACTACTCACACTCAACCCGCATCTCACTACTCCACTCTCAACCCACTATCTCACTACTTCACCACTCAACCCAGCATCTCACTACTCACTACTCAACCCACTATCTCACTACTCACACTCAACCCAGCATCTCACTACTCACACTCAACCCACTATCTCACTACTCACACTCAACCCACTATCTCACTACTCACACTCAACCCACTATCTCACTACTCACACTCAACCCAGCATCTCACTACTCACTCTCAACCCAGCATCTCACTACTCACACTCAACCCACTATCTCACTACTCACACTCAACCCACTATCTCACTACTCACACTCAACCCACTATCTCACTACTCACACTCAACCCACTATCTCACTACTCACACTCAACCCACTATCTCACTACTCACACTCAACCCACTATCTCACTACTCACACTCAACCCCACTATCTCACTACTCACACTCAAACCCAGCATCTCACTACTCACACTCAACCCAGCATCTCACTACTCACACTCAACCCACTATCTCACTACTCACACTCAACCCACTATCTCACTACTCACACTCAACCCAGCTATCCACTACTCACACTCAACCCACTATCTCACTACTCACACTCAACCCACTATCTCAATACTCACACTCAACCCAGCATCTCCTACTCACACTCAACCCACTATCTCACTACTCACTCTCAACCCACTATCTCACTACTCACACTCAACCCAGCTATCTCACTACTCACACTCAACCCACTATCTCACTACTCACACTCAACCCACTATCTCACTACTCACCTCAACCCACTATCTCACTACTCACTCTCAACCCACTATCTCACTACTCACACTCAACCCACTATCTCACTACTCACACTCAACCCACTATCTCACTACTCACACTCAACCCACTATCTCACTACTCTCACACTACAACGCCACACTATCTCACTACTCACTCTCAACCCACTATCTCACTACTCACACTCAGCATCTCACTGACTCACTCTCAAACCCACTATCTCACTACTCACCTCAACCCCAGCATCTCACTACTCACTCTCAACCCACTATCTCCTACCCACTCAACCCAGCTATCTCACTACTCACACTCAACCCACTATCTCACTACTCACACTCAACCCACTATCTCACTACTCACTACTCAACCCACTATCTCACTACTCACACTCAACCCAGCATCTCACTACTCACACTCAACCCAGCTATCTCACTACTCACACTCAACCCACTATCTCACTACTCACACTCAACCCACTATCTCACTACTCACACTCAACCCAGCTATCTCACTACTCACACTCAACCCAGCATCTCACTACTCACACTCAACCCACTATCTCACTACTCACACTCAACCCAGCTATCTCACTACTCACACTCAACCCACTATCTCACTACTCACACTCAACCCACTATCTCACTACTCACACTCAACCCACTATCTCACTACTCACACTCAACCCACTATCTCACTACTCACACTCAACCCACTATCTCACTACTCACACTCAACCCACTATCTCACTACTCACACTCAACCCACTATCTCACTACTCACATCAACCCAGCTATCTCACTACTCACACTCAACCCACTATCTCACTACTCACACTCAACCCACTATCTCACTACTCACACTCAACCCAGCATCTCACTACTCACACTCAACCCAGCATCTCACTACTCACTACTCAACCCAGCATCTCACTACTCACTCTCAACCCACTATTTCACTACTCACACTCAACCCAGCTATCTCACTACTCACACTCAACCCACTATCTCACTACTCACTCTCAACCCACTATCTCACTACTCACACTCAACCCACTATCTCACTACTCACACTCAACCCACTATCTCACTACTCACACTCAACCCACTATCTCACTACTCACTCTCAACCCACTACTCACACTCAACCCAGCATCTCACTACTCACTCTCAACCCACTATCTCACTACTCACACTCAACCCAGCATCTCACTACTCACTCTTAACCCACTATCTCACTACTCACACTCAACCCAGCATCTCACTACTCACACTCAACCCACTATCTCACTACTCACACTCAACCCACTATCTCACTACTCACACTCAACCCACTATCTCACTACTCACACTCAACCCAGCATCTCACTACTCACTCTCAACCCAGCATCTCACTACTCACACTCAACCCACTATCTCACTACTCACACTCAACCCACTATCTCACTACTCACACTCAACCCACTATCTCACTACTCACACTCAACCCACTATCTCACTACTCACACTCAACCCACTATCTCACTACTCACACTCAACCCACTATCTCACTACTCACACTCAACCCACTATCTCACTACTCACTCTCAACCCACTATCTCACTACTCACACTCAACCCAGCATCTCACTACTCACATTCAACCCAGCATCTCACTACTCACACTCAACCCACTATCTCACTACTCACACTCAACCCACTATCTCACTACTCACACTCAACCCACTATCTCACTACTCACACTCAACCCAGCATCTCACTACTCACTCTCAACCCAGCATCTCACTACTCACTCTCAACCCACTATTTCACTACTCACACTCAACCCAGCTTCTCACTACTCACACTCAACCCACTATCTCACTACTCACTCTCAACCCACTATCTCACTACTCACACTCAACCCACTATCTCACTACTCACACTCAACCCACTATCTCACTACTAACACTCAACCCAGCATCTCACTACTCACACTCAACCCAGCATCTCACTACTCACACTCAACCCACTATCTCACTACTCACTCTCAACCCACTATCTCACTACTCACACTCAACCCACTATCTCACTACTCACACTCAACCCACTATCTCACTACTAACACTCAACCCAGCATCTCACTACTCACACTCAACACGCGATCAGAGCCGCCGCTCGCATCGAGAGAGGACGGGGCCGTCGGCGTGTGGCGTGCGCGACCCGGAGAGCTTAGATCCGACTACGTCGGAGGCGGCGCCAAAGAGCACCGGATGCGCGAGACGGGGAGGGCAGTGCGGCGCCACGCGCGGCTCCGCGGGGCCGGGCCAGAGCGTCCGCAGGGACCGCCGGCGCCACCGCCGGCGCACGGCCGGTCGAGCGCCGCGTGCCATTCGCGGTTTCGCTTTTGCCACGTGCCATGCGTCCCGTGCCGTGTTCTGTGCTCCGTGTGTACTGTGTGCCGTGTACTCTGCGTGCCGCGTACTCTCCGTGCCGCGTACCCTCCGTGCCGTGTACCCTGCGTGCCGAGTACCCTGCGTACCGCGTACTCTGCGTGCCGCGTACTCTCCGTGCCGAGTACCCTCCGTGCCGTGTACCCTGCGTGCCGTGTACCCTGCGTGCCGAGTACCCTCCGTGCCATGCACTCTCCGTGCCGTGCACCCTCTGTGCCGTGCACCCTCTGTGCCGAGTACCCTGCGCGCCGAGTACCCTCCGTGCCGAGTACCCTCCGTGCCGTGTGGTACCCACGTGGCTCTCCCACGTGCAGCGTCTCACACAGCATCCCTGTCAGCTCGATGCTGCTGCGCCCAAACGGACACTCGTGCTTGTCGTCACGGCAACTGTTCTCCAGCACTAGCTGTGATGCCGCACACACAGACGCGCACACATAGATGATCAAACACACACACAAAGACACATCCAAATACACTCAAAGCCACCCGCACATACATCCATACAGAGGGACTGATACACACACCCAGGCACTGAGGGACAAGTGCACAGAGGCACACACACAACACAACGCTCCTCATGCATTGACAGGGAGTGCGAATGATGATAAAGATGACGATGTGTGTTTGGTAGAGCCGCCCCCCTTTACCCGGGGCATCTCAGAACGCTCACCACATGATAAGCAACTTGCATCTCAAATAAACACATTCAAAAGGGCCCCCTCAGCGGCAGCCGTGCGGCACAAGGCGACTCGGCACCTGGCCTGCGCGCGAGCGTTTGTCTGCCAGCGGGGGAGACGACTGCTGCGATGCGGTCTATCCTAGGGGTACCCCCAGCGGCAGATATCCCCGTGTGTTAGTTTTCCACTGGTGGGCGACGGCCGCTCTGCGCGAGTCCACTCGAGCGCCGCGCAGGCCGTGTCGGCGTGCGCCGGTCCAGCGGGCGTTGCGTGGCGCCCGCTCACCCGCACGTAGGGGTCCGTGTGGTGCTTGGCAAAGTAGATCATGTTGTCCAGCGCCAGCATGCCCGGCGGGGTCTGCATGAAGTCCAGCGCCGGGTTCACGTGGTTCTGGGGCACAGGGCAACGCAGAGACACAAACGCACGGACATGCGCAAAGCCGGGGATCTCCTGCGTAGCCTCTAACGGACTGTGGGGCAATTGCTGTTAGCGAGTATCATCACCTACGGGGGCCGGCGCGGCATACAAGGGAGTGGGTGGTCAGCACCACGCCCGGCCGCCTTTATCTCCCCAGTGCTTATATTTAAACACTGCACCAGGAACTCGTTTTAGGTCGAGTCGAACTAGAAGAGGCCCACCACGACCGATTCACAAGTGGGAATCGAACTTAGGTCGCCAAGTTCGTAGTTCAGCACGCTCACCACTGTGCCATCGCTCCGCCCACACGCACGCACACAGGCATACGCACGCACGCTGGCTCACGCACGCACACAGGCACACGCACGCTGGCTTACACACGCACGAACACAGGCACACACACGCACGCTGGCTTACACACGCACGCACACGGGCACACGCACGTACATCCCGTCGGTCCCCCGCGCTCGGGATGCTGCTGCCCCCCACCCCTCGGTGCAGCGCTCCAGGCAATCCAAGTCACAAGCGCATGGGCTCCCCCTGCCGGCCCGGCTCCACGCAGCGAGTAGCGCGGTGGCGCTGTGCACTCACCGTGAAGCCCAGCTTCTTGTAGTCCTTGGAGTAAACTCCCTTGCGCCGGTCGAGCGTTCCCCCGGGGGCGCTCGCGGCCTCCGCCTCCGCGTCGAACGCGATGCGGCACAACTCGAACAGTGTGTCCCTCTGGGCCTGCTCACCCACCGCCACCACCACCACCACCACGGAACTTCTCAACACCCAGCACCACGTTGTTCCCTGTGCTCTGGTGTCCCCGTGTCCCCGTGCACCCTATGCCCCCGTGCCCTCATATCTCCATATGGCTGTGCCCCCCGTGTCCCTGTGTACGTGCGTCTCCGTATACGCGCGTGTCCGTGTACCCATTCCCCGTATCTCTGTATCGCTGTGCCCCCCGTGCCCCGTGTCTCCGTGCCCCCGTGTCGCCGTGCCCTCGTGTCCCCATGTGACCCCCCCGTGCCTCGCCTGGTCCTGTGGGTCCATCTTGGTCATCATCCGCTCCTCCAGGAGATTGAGCGACAGCACCTGCAGCACGTAGAGCTGGTGCGCCATCTCCGTGCCCACAATCTGCTGGCCCCGGATCACCGACTGAGGGCAAACATCACCAACATCATCACCCAAAAACCTTCATTATGAATCATCACCACCAAGGTCAGAACATCAAAGAGATTTCTTGCCATAACGAGCATTGAGGTGGTACTCATCTCCAGTTTACAACCCTAAGCCAGTGCTAGAAGTTTCATTTTTCTATGGCAGGGGCGAGTCTAAGAACAGGATAACCACTATATTCTTAGCTCTTTCGGTAAAGTCACATTGAAGGGAAACAATAAAATAATAAACTATATAAACAACGTGACTTTACCGAAAGAGCTAAGAATATGAATTACTGCAGTCACGAAAGCTTTAAATCAAAAGGATAACCACTGTTTACTTTCTCACAAAGTGGAACTTATTTGATCAATCCTGGAGCGATGATGGGCAGAATCAACCCCCCAAACCAGGATTTAAATTCTCAACCTACTGATTGTGAGCCACTCTACCAAATGGCCAACCATCACCACCAACATCAGTCATCTCTATCAGTACCAACATCATCATCACCATCATCGTCATCGTCGTCATCACGATCATCATCGTCGTCATCACCATCATCATCGTCGTCATCACCATCGTCATCGTCGTCATCACCATCATCATCGTCGTCATCACCATCATCATCGTCGTCATCACCATAATCATCACCACCACCACCATCATCATCGTCGTCGTCATCATCATCATCACCACCACCACTACCATCATCGTCGTCATCGTTGTCAGCATCATCACCGCTGCCACTTCCTTCGTGGCCACGCACGCGCACACCTACGTTGAGGATAACCGTGCGAAGTTGCTTCTGGCAGGGGCTGTTGGCCAGCTCCTGTATGGGAGAGACAAAGGTGGCTCAGTGTCCGTTCTGTCTGCACCATTCCTCGCGGACACACACAAAACCCGACGGTGTTCACACAATCACACACACACACTCGCACGCGTTCACGTAGAAACTCGCACACTCATGCACTTGCACCTCTTCACACTCACAAATGTGCACACTTACGCATACACACTTGTGCATATACACTCATGCACACACTCACAACCGCACTCATGCACCAAGGCCGTAATTATGATATATATTGGGGGGGGGGACATCCCCCCCCCCCAATATTCAAATATGCTCAAAATGTCCCCCCCAATATATTGCTATAAAAAATTGCTATGCTATGGAAATAAAAACAGCAATTTGCTGAACCTTGGCCACAATATCTGGACTTGTCTTCATATAAATCAATGCATAGATTTCTGTTTATATGATTGTGGTTATTGTTGTACTTTATTAATCCCTAATTTCTGCCATTACATACAAAAAAAGTAAAAACAGCAATGTAATACAAAACACTATTCGACATTATTGTAAAAAATAAATAACAAATCCATCCCATGTGTTAGTGAATTTTTAAATATTTTAGGCAGGAAATGAGTGTTAAAATTTAGATCTTTTTCTGGGTTGGGACCCCTAGACACCCTGGAAGATTTGGTCCCCCCCAATGTTGACTCCATGGCTACGGCCTTGGCATGCACACTGAAAAACACGTACACACACATGCACACAGGGCTTAATTTGAGCCGGGTTTGTCTGGGTCGGTGACCCCAAAAATACTGTCAGGCCTTGATACACCACATCAAGAATGCCTCTCGCTATGGCTGTGGGTACGACGAGTCACGAGACACCTACACTCTAGTCTTACGATCGAAAAAATATTCAGTGATAAATTAAGCCCTGCTGTAAATAATAGCGCACACACGCACGCACGTGCGCGGCGCTGGCTGGCGCTGGCCGGCGGTGGCCGGCGTTGGCCGTACTCACGGTCAAGGGGGCGGTGAGAACCCTACCGGGGTCCTCCTCACTCATCTCTAGCATCCAGTCCAGCTGCGGGGCGCGTGATTAAAGCGGGGCGGCACAGCGGGCGGTGTGGTTAACGGGGAGCGTTGCGAGTGAATCGAGCGAGCAGGGAGACGAACGCGGATGCACGCAAACAGATACGCACAATGCACGCACACAGATACACACAATGCACGCACTCAGACACGCCGACACGGCTACACGCACAATGCACGATCAGACACGCCGACACGGTTACACACGCGTTCAGACACGACAATATGGCTACACGCACACACACAAAACAAATACCCCCATGTAGCCTTCTATGTATGCATATTGAGCTTCTTTCGGACGGTACAAAGCCAACCATGCTAATTGGAGGTGCGAGAGCCTGACCAGGCTGTTAAGGCAAGTGCCGTTAGGGAGGACCTATTAAGGTCGGGACGGTACACGAAGGTGGTGGGTGGCCAGCGTCATGCTCGGCCACCTTAGTCTCACCAGTGGCGATGTTCACACACCGCACCGGGTACGCATTTGAGACTGATCCGTAATAGGGGAGGCCCAGGACCGGTTCAAATATTCATCACTGGTGTTGGTTCGAAGCCAACGCGTTAACCATTGCACTAGTGCTTCCCACACTGGTCGACACTGTCGAACACACACAGGGACACCCTGGCGGGGGAGGCCAGGCTTGCACGGCCCCACAGGTGACACCAACCGCAAACTCACAAGGAATCCGGGCGGCATGGTCACGACCCCAGTCACAGAACCACCACCAAACACCGCAGTCCTACGGTCTCAGTCTCAACTCCACGGTCTCAGGACCAGTTGCCGCGCCACCGTCACGGTACCAGGGTCACTGTACCATCGTCAGAGCACCACGGCGATGGTACCGTGGCGACCGCGTCGCGATTGCTATACCACGGGTGGCAGCACCTGCTTGGTCTCCTCGGGAGCCTTGAGCAGCAGCGCGTTGAGCAGCGCCACCGCGTTCGTCTGGATCTCTTGGTTGGACCTGCGGTGAGACCGAGAACCACGCGGGTTTCCATCTCCCAGCCCCGCAGAAACATCGTGCCATGGCCGCCGAGGTTGACGCCGGTCTAGCCAGATGGTGATTTTATAGATCGTCGAGTCTCAAGGGCTCTATTTCAGGTGGGTTCTGCAGTCAGGGGGGCGACGTTTTGCGAAGCGTTTCCAAATTTAGTAATTTGCGGTGTAAGTTTTCCTATTCGGCAAATGTGGACCATGGCGCCAGCCGACTCTTCTCCGAACGACGTCATGGGAACTTTAACGTCCTCTGCGCTCGCGGTATTAACCAGGGCGGCAAGCCGGATATGAACCGTAAACATCTGCAACAAGTGGTGAAAGCTCTCTCGCTGGGAAACGTTTTCGCCTTAGAGTTCCATTGCCCGAGGTCGACTCCGCATCAAATGAGTGCCGAGAGTGGTGCGTTAACGTCAGCACTGGAGAGACAAAGACGGCCGGGTGCGGTGCCGGTCGCCCACCCCCTCATGCACCTCGCTAACGGCACTCTCCCCGACAGTCAGCCGAGGCTACGGGGGGACCGTGGAGCGTGTGTGTAGGCGCACGTGTGTGCATACGTGTATTCGTGTGTGTGCATGCGTGTATTCGTGCATGTGTGTGTGTGCGTGCGTGTGGGCCCGTACACTTGCAGGTGGTTGATGAGCTGCCCGACGGTGATCTCCTGCGACACCACGGAGTAGAGGTTGAGGCTGTTGAGCACCATGCACTCGAGGATCGCGAGAGAGCGCTGCAGCAGCGTCGCGTCCAGGTTGGGGGCACGCACGTAGCTCGCGATCTGCCGCACGCCACACACGCGACACATGTGACACATGTGGCCAGGATGGCAGGGCACATGGCACGCAGGACACGTAGGGCAAAGGGCACGCACGGCACGCGGCAGAGACCACGGCAAGGAGAATGGCCGCCGGCTGCATCACAGAGGTAACAGGTCAAGGCGCAGCCCTGCAATGTCTTGCTCACTCTACTGCTGGTGGAACCTGGGCCGGGCCTCCATAGCAGGGGACTCTAGCGTGTTCTCGGCCTCCACTTCCACGTCAACCAGACTGCCTATCAAGTGGTGGGCGTACCCCCACGTGTTACTCCACTGCTCTCAGTCTCCCGCCAATCGACGGGTTCAGAAACTTCGCTGCCATGCCGGGAGATGGAACTGAACTGGCGTCAGGGAGGAGGGCTGCTTACCGCTGTGGGAATCTTCTGGAGGATTCCTGCTGTAAAGGTGGACAGTGGGAGTAATCACGGATCCCAGGGAGGCGCCGGTTCTGAAACATCTGCACTCAGATCCTCTGCCCAACGGCGGCCTTGCCGACGGGACGCTAGCCCAACCAATGGCGTGGGTGTCGTGAACGCGCGTCAACAACCGCAACAACACAAACAAAGCAAGTGCCAAGACACACGGCACAAACCTTTTTGACGAAGCTGACTGTCAGGTTATCCCATGAGATGATTCCGTGGTCCATAAGCTCCAGGAAGGCAGTTAGCGTGAAGGCCAGGAGTTCCCCGAGACTGGCGGTCATCCCGGCGTAACGGCATAGTGACGACACGGTGACGACACGGTGACAACATGGCACAGGCAGAGCTAGAGCAATGAGAGCCCGCGCTGGCCGAAGCGTGAGCGGTCGTGCGTTCGGTTAAAGGACAGGGTGCGCTCACGGTCAGAACCGAGTGAGGTCGATGCGGGGTGACAAGATCACGACAGCGTCCGGAGCGGAGTTGCGTGTGAAGCAGTTTCAATGGTGAGGTGGAGGGTCCGGGAGATCAGTGAACAGAGGTCGTGATAGGGGTCAGGGGCCTGAGTACAGAATGGCTGCGCAACTAGAGAAGTGTCACGAGTACAGGGGTGGTCAGGACCACGGAGTCACAAGTGTATTTTCAAAATGGGACGCAAGTCAACCTCGCCCCACATAACTGATAATAAATCTCTGCCACATGCCTTCTGGGAGTGCATCATTTCAGTGGCATTGATTATACGCGAGAAAAACTCTAGACTGGTTATGACTTTGAGTGTCACGTCAGGCTTGCTCGAACCGATGCTGGTGATCTGCCATATGTTACGGACAAGGACCCCCTCCGTTATACATGGGTTTTACATACACATACGTGCGTCTAAAGTTCACAGAGCTATGGTGGCCATGTTGCATGTGGTTGTTTTCCTGGCAGCTGATTAGCTAGTGGAGTGGGAGTGATGACATCATCCCAAGCAACCACTGCCATGCCTACTACGTTGCCATCTCACCAGGGCATCCGCTTCCCATATGGATTTGCGTGCGATTTTTTCTCTCATGGCATTTCAGATCCCGCTTCAACCACCAGCCATTGACCCAGCGGGACATCTCATGAGCATTGTCTGTACTTGGGCCCCGGTGTCAGCAGGGCCGTGTTAAGGGTCGGGTCGGCGAGCAGAGTTCGTGTTATGGGTTAGGTCGTAGGCCAAGTCGGGGTCGTCGACGCGACGCACGAGCCCGACTGACAGAGGTCGCGCGTTCAGCAGGCACGGTGGCGAAGTGGCCAGGCGTGGAGACTGCAGAAGAGGAGGAGGAGTTAGAGCGAGACGCGTGGAGAGTTAGTCTCGAGACGAGGTGGGGGGGGCGGGGGGGTGGGCAGTCCCTTACCACGCCTTCATCATCTTCTGCAGTTTCACATAGCGTCTGCAAAACGTCAACACTGCGCATGTCAGAGCATCCCGCACGCCGCTCCACAACAAACGCACTCGCAGATCGTGCCAAGTGCGTATTTTTGTGTGTAGCTGTGAATGGTGTGTGTGCACTCATTTACCTACTCACTCACTCTAACATCACACACGAACAAAAACAAAGATCCCCGTATAGTCTTAAAAGACTGTCGGGGCAAGTGTTGTCAGCGAGCGCCTATGAAGGCCGGCACGGCATACGAGGGGGTGAGTGGCCAGCGCCATGAGCGGCGCTGGCCACTCACCAGGTCCTCATTTGAGGCCGAGCCGACCTTGGGGAGACCCGGGACCAGTTCAGATAACCGTTATCGGCGTTGGCCACGAGTAGGAATCGAACTCGGGTCGCCGGGTTTGTAGAGCGGCACGCTAACCGCTGCACCGCCGCTCCCCCGGCCTCACGCGCACCGACCCAGGCGAGCGCTCACTCACTCGACGTCCACCATCTGCGTGAGAGCGGCGATGCCGTCGCGGGCGATGAACTCGTGGGCGAAGGAGGGGTCGGCGGCCAGCTTGGCGAGGCTCTTCACGGCCTCCAGCTTCGCCTCCATGCTGGTGGAGAGCAGCTTCTCGTGCAGCTCCCGCGCCATGCGCTCCTAGGCAAGGCCACGCAGATTAAGGTCCCCGACGTGGCCTGCGCAGGCCGTCGGGGCGAGTGACGTGTGCAGGCACTTGCGAAGGCCGGTACGGCGCATGAGGTGGTGGCGTGCGGCTAGTGCCGCGCCCGGCTGCTTTTGTTTCCCCGATGCTAATGTTTACACGCAACACTAGGTATTCATCTCAGGCAAAGACAAGCTACGGGAGAGGCCTACGACCGGTTATTGGAGTTGTAATTGAATTTGAGTTGCTGGGTTCATAGTGTAGTGCAGTGTGCCAACCACAACACTTGTTACAGCAGGCACACACACACTCGCCCACACCACACAGCGCACCGCTGCACACACAGTGCACCGCCGCACGACCGCACAGACAGCGCACCACCGCACACACAGCGCACCACCGTACACACAGCGCGCCGCCGGGCATCCAGCGCACCACCACGCATGCGGGAGCGCACCTGTGACACGGCGAGCTTGAGAATCGCTCCATTCTTGACGTCGTTGCGATTCTGGGAGGTGAGACACGATGGCGCACGGTAACGGAGGAAATTAAGCCGCCACGCTCTGCAGGGTTCACGACTCACGGAGATGAGAGCCTGCTATGGGAATGTGCCATTTCCACCAGGCGGGCCCAGCCTGCTCCGGTCCCTCCATAAGACTACGGGGCTGTGGGCCGGAGGGAGATTTCATCATCAACTGGCCTCAGGGCAGGGGACCAATGATTCTGGAGCCACAGGAGTCTGAACCACCACAGCCACGCCGCCCCTTCCTCCCCCCGAGCCCCCCAGGTCCCGTGACCCATGCCACTAAACGCCCTTCACGTGTGCATCTGCTGGCCACATGTGCGGCTCCCGCACAGAGGGTGGTGGGAGAGCTGGAGGAGAGAGCTAAGGGAGGAGGAGCTGGGAGAGCTGGGGTGAGTTGCAGCACTTGGGAGAGGAAACGGGTCACACGTGCATGCAGGGGAACGGTCCAACCCACGATCATGACGATTACGATTATGATGGTGATGGCAATGATGAAGGTGGTGGTAATGAGGGCCCTTTGCAGAGTGTCCGCACCGCGTCACACCTCGCTCACGCTTGCTCAGCTGCGTTGTTTCCCTGTGACCTAGTGAGCAAAAACATGGACCCTGTGGAAGAAGGAACATCTGTGCCAGCTATAAACATTCTGAGTTGGCTGGGGCATGTAGCCCGCATCCCCAGCCACTGCATGCCCAAGCTGCTTCTGTTTGGCCGAAGAGTGGAGGCTAAATGGGCATGGTACACACTAGAGAAGAGATTAACTGATGTGGTTTAGAATGATGTGGAGCTGATTGGACTTGCAGAGAAACGACGCACCTGAGTCTGTGACCCACTGCCAGCGAGTCTTTGACAACTCACGTGGTCTCAAAGTGCACCTAGCCTGGCACAAGCACTGTGGTGACATAACTGCTGCTTCGTGGCGAACGGAAGCCATTCTTGTTGTTGTTGGGGAGCTGCGGGGAGCTGGAGGCGATGTCACAAACAGCTGCGACAGTGGGCACAGAAGAGAATGAACCTCACGGTGCCATCACGACCACCCGGGACCGTGGACAGCCCTACATAGTCATGCTGGTCATTGGGTCGGGGTTAGACTCGGGGTCATTGGGTCGGGGTTAGACTCGGGGTCATTAGGTCGGGGTTAGACTCGGGGTCATTGGGTCGGGGTTATACTGGGGGTCATTGGGTCGGGGTTAGACTGGGGGTCATTGGGTCGGGGTTAGACTCGGGGTCATTGGGTCGGGGTTAGACTCGGGGTCATTGGGTCGGGGTTAGACTCGGGGTCATTGGGTCGGGGTGACGGTCAGCACCTTCTCTGTTATGTAGAACTCCGTGCCGTCTCCGTACTGCAGCGTGAACTGCGCCGGGTCTGGCAGCTTCCATCTGCAAGGCCGGTGGAAGGGGAGGGGGGGGAGAGTGACCTCTTGGCGCCCGGCACACCGCGTCCGGTATCCTCTCTCGCTACGGCGGTAGCTACAAGTCGCACGCCCGCTCCGGTCTCCGAGAACAGCCGGGAAATATCCGGCGAGAAAACGGCGGTGCGTTTGGAGGGGGGAGGGGGGGCGTGAGCCTCTCCCGTCACCGGCGGCCCAGCGGCGGCGACGGAGCGCAGCGCCCGCCACCGCTGGCACGCGCTCGCCCCGCGGGCCCGCAAACAAGCACGCCATTATTCACTGTGCCTGGCACGGCCCCACCCACTCACCCCCCCGGGGGGCCCCTACCGCACCAAGGGAAACAAATGCCATGGGATGTGAAAAGAGCGCGAATTAAAATGTCCGCACATTGACGGGATGCAGCCAGAGCGGCACAGTGAGAGGTGTGTGTGTCTGTGTGTGGAGTGTGTGTGTGTGGCGTGTGTGTGTGTGTGTAGTGTGTATGGTGAGTATGTGATGTGTATGTGTGTGGGGAGTGTCTGGTGTATGAGCGGTGGGATGGAGTGAGGGGATGAGGGGGGATAGTGGGAGGAACAAGAGCACTGCCTTCAGTGCCAGAATCACGGGGAGCAGCGGCCGTGTCACCCTCCTGTCTCCGTGTCACCCACGTGTCCCCGTCTAAAAAACGTCTCCCCGTGTAACCCGCGTCTCCCCGTGTAACCCGCGTCTCCCCGTGTAACCCGCGTCTCTCCGTGTCACCCGCGTCTCTCCGTGTAACTCGCGTCTCCCCGTGTAACCCGCGTCTCTCCGTGTCACCCGCGTCTCTCCGTGTCACCCGCGTCTCCCCGTGTCACCCGCGTCTCCCCGTGTCACCCGCGTCTCTCCGTGTCACCCGCGTCTCCCCGTGTCACCCGCGTCTCTCCGTCACCCGCGTCTCTCTGTCACCCACGTCTCTCCGTGTCACCCACGTCTCTCTGTGTCACCCACGTCTCTCCGTGTCACCCACGTGTCCCCGTGCCACTTACGTTTCGCACACCTCCTGCACGATGGCGCTCAGCGGCTTCTTCTGTAACAGAGAAGCGCGCATCAGTGTCCCGCACAACCTGGCTCACACACCTCATCATCGTCGTCGTCATCATCCCCACTGCTGGTTGAGGATCTCCCCAAGCCACCATCTCTCACGACGGTCTTGCGACGTAACGCCCTCCCCGCTCCATCCACGTCAGCGGACATAATCATCTCCCGCCTTGGGCTGCTATTCCGTCACTAACCCCGACCGCCGGCCGGCACCCGTCATCGTCGTCGTTATTGTTGTTGTTGTCGCCGAGTGACTAAACCGTGGCGTCTCCAAGCCGGCATCAAGGCCACTGACCTCGTGGTCTCCGGCGCGGCATGCTGCTTGCGTTCGCCGCCGAAGGCCTCACCGTCCCGACACGATGAGCTTCACTCCTGCGCCGTGGAGCCGCTCACTGCGGTCGCCACCAAATTGCGTTCCGCGGCACGCTCTGACGACGCAACTCTCCTGGGCGCCGGCGGTAGTCGCGAGTTTGGCTTCCCGTTGCGCGGGAGTTGAGCGTTGTCATGTTTTACGCTCCGCTAGCGTCCCGGTAAGAGCCGAGGTCACTTCGATTCATCACCAACAGCTCATTCGACGCAAACTGCCAAGCGGCCTTCCAACCGTTGCGACGTTACATTCCCGTGACGCTTGTAACGCGCACGCTCTCAGTTGCACGACGAACCGGCAGACTGAATGCTATCGTTGCGTGGGGTTACGTTGAGTTGGCGCAGGAATACGAGCGTGTTTAATATGAGTGGCTAAGCCATTCATTTTAAACTGAAACCACTTAATTTTCAATGTCACATCACAACTATGTTGTCAGGAAATAATGTTTTAAAAACAGGAAACCGATGCATTTCCGAACGGACGTCACGACCATTGCGCATCTCATCCCGTTCGATGCACCGCGCCACGCCGTGCCGTGCGGGCGCGTCACCTGGTCGATCTCGATGAAGAGCGGGAACTGGTCGAGGTACTGGATGGCGACCTTCACCACGTCCTGCGGGGGAGGCATCGCCACGGCGACGCAGCCGGGCCGGCGGGCAGAAAGATGGACAGAGGGCGACAGAGAGACAGAACTACAGAGACAGAGAGGGAGCGAGACGAAAATTGAGGGGTGGCGGGAAACAGATCGAGAGAGAGAGAGCCGAAGAGGCAGAGAGAACGAGACAATGACAGAGAGACAAAGAGTGAAACGGAAAAAGAGGGAGTCACAGTGAAACGGACAGAGAGAGAGAGAGGAGCCGGGGGGGGCCGGGAGGCGGGGACACGGAGTGGGGGTGGCGCTGGAGTGAGGAGAGCGACGAGGGGGCGGCGAAGTCACGCGGAGGACCTTGATGCCTTGGCCCCTGCCGAGGAGGAGGGGAAGGATGATATATTTTAACCGCAACGCTTATCGCACCGCACATCACTCCGCGGCGCGTCCTCCATCCCCGCCCAACGTCTCCAACTCTCACACCTGGAATTCTTTAAGTGTGACTGAGATGCAGCAGCAACAGCAGCAGCCGCGCATAAACTTTCACAAATGCGTGGAATTGGCGACGGCAAAAACGGTTCGCCTACAATCATAGAGATGAGGACACGGGGACACGGGGACACGGGGACAGGGAGTGGCTCATTCACGCACGTGCTGCGTCTTCAGGGTTCTGCGTCCCGGGGTGGCATGCGCTGCGACAGGGCCGGTGGTGGCGGAGGTTCAGTTTTGTAACGAGCTTCAAAGGACGCGAGGCCCAGACAGTGCGGGCCGCACTTCCGCATGCTGACGAGGCCACGGCGGCCCAACGACACGCACGGCGTCCGGCTGCGTGGACACACACGTGCACACACGCGGCTGCAGCCACACCATGGCAACAGCAACACACACACGGCTACAGCCACACCGTCTCAACAACACATACACACGCGGCTACACAGGCAGGCTACAGCTGCACATGCAGCCACGTGCACATACCCACACACGCACACACGCGCACAACCGTGCAAACACGCAGCACATGTATACACACAAAAACAGATGCCCGCACCACACCCACACGCGCATGAGCATTGAGGGCAGTGCGGACAAAAGCGGCAGAGACGCAGGCGGCACGGTCAAACGGCACCCAGCGAGCGACACAGCGAGATTGCTGCTACAGGCATTGCGCTCCGCACGCACGCGGGTGGCGGTAGTGGTCGCGATGGTGGCGATGATGATGAAGGTGCCGCCGATGATTGTGAACATTACGGTGATGTCGATACCGACGACGGTAATCGTGACCACATCCATATCGATGATCGAGGTGACAATGTGATGATCGTGATGATGAGGACGATGTTGGCGATGCCGGCCTCACAGGCGGCGGGCCACGTCGTTGCCGGAGCGACCGTGCGGAGGCCACAGCGGCCGCCGCTTCTCGCCGTCTCCGCGTTTCCACGCGAACCCTCCCACTGGTGCAGCAGCAGCAGTAGCAGCAGCTCGTTACCAAGGCAACAGCAAGCCACCTAATCACCGAGCGGCACGCGGCGCCTGCACCGGGGAGCCGCTTGCCGCTACTACGGCAAACTACGATCGCTACCACCTACACCGCAACTACCACCGCTACCACCTGCACCGCCACTACCACCACAATACCACCAGCACTGCCACTACCACCAGCACCGCAACTACCACCGCTACCGTGGGCACCGCCGCTACCACCTACACCGCAACTACCACCGCTACCATGGGCACCACCGCTACCACCAGCACCGCCACTACCACCTCCACCACCACCATAATAATGAACTGCCACCACCAGCACCGCCTTTACCATCACTACTGCATTCACCAACACCACCGCTGTGATGAACAGCCATTAATTACTGCCACCAGCAGTGCCACCACCACTACCACAGGGTGGGTGGTTATGTGTGTGGTTGAGTGGGTGGGTGGTTGAGAGAGTGAATGAGTGGGTGGGTGGTTATGTATGTGGTTCAGTGGTTGAGTGGGTGGGTGGTTGAGCGAGCGAATGAGTGGGTGGTTATGTGTGTGGTTGTGTGAGTCGGTTCTTTTGTATGTGGTTGAGTGGATGGGTGGTTGATTTGTTGGTTGGCAAGGTGGGGGCAACTGCTGGACACTGACGACATTGGTTGTAGCTCGCACCCAGCAGCGGTGGGCACCGGGAGAGGACTCGGCCACCACTGGGCAATGGTGCCCTGAGGTGCCCAGCGATCTCCTCCTAAATTGCGGCCATCGCACGTTCGGCCCAATCTTGGCTCCGCACCGAAAACCAATTCAGGTGTATTGCGTGGCCGCCCAACTACAGGACCAGCTCAACTGCCCGGTGGTCACTCAAAGGGCTAACAGCGAATCGAAAGGGCCCAAGGGCCAGGACGGCAAGGCCTGCATCGCCCGTGCGGAGACGCTCATCCTGGCACGGGCGGAGTCATGGCGGGGACCGGACAGGCCCGAGAGGGGCCATGGGACGGGCCGGGCGAGCGGGAAACTCCTCGAGGCGCCCGGAGGCTTTCAGATGCAAACGAGGAGCGCCGGAGGTGACGGCTCAAGGCGCGGGTCCCACGGCCGCCCCCCATTCATCTCCGTGCCCCCACTTTTGGGGCACGGGGAGAGAGAGCGAGAGAGTGATCGTCTTTCCGCTCACACACACACAGCCACATAAAACCACTTACGCAATCACACGGGCACGCATACTAAATTACTTACAGCCACCTACACAGTCGCACATACACAAGACTACCCATACACAGAGGCACAAAGATCCCCCCGTATAGCTTTTACGGACTGTTGCTGCAAGTGCTGTTAGCGAGCACCTATGAAGGACGGGTGTGGGTGGCCAGCACCATGCCCGGCCTTTGTCTCCTCACTGTTCATGTTTACACACCTCACCAGAGACACTGCCACTCATTCACATGAGCGGGTGTATTTGTTTTGTAGAGACATGCTGTAAGTCAATCATGGACTGGGTCTCTTTGCGGGTGTATGGGTTCCCTTTGTGAGTCTGTGGATCTCTATGTAAGTCTATGGGTCTCAGTGGTGTAGCATGGTTGGCACGGGCCCTGGTTCCAGAAATGAAATAGGGCCTCCAATGTACAATTTCTCCCCTCTTATCGTAGGCTGGCACCTGAGCACAGGGTTCTCTGTGCAGCTGCACTGCCTGTACACTCAACAACCACACCACTGCCTGTACACTCAACAACCACACCACTGCCTGTACACTCAACAACCACACCACTGCCTGTACACTCAACAACCACACCACTGCCTGCACACTCAACACCCTCGCCAGGGAGCGCAGGTAAACGGTGAACACCTCCACACGGTGTTTGGGCTGAGAGGTGTGTAGTGGGCCTCTTCAGACCCCGAGGAATGCAGTGCTCAGACTGTGGCACAGGGAGGGAGGGCACGAGGAGGGGACAGGGACCTCAAACGAGCAGCAGGGGTCAGGGTCCGTGCCGAGGCCCCGACATCAAAGGGAACGCCCTCTCCTTCACGACCTCACGACCCTACGCCAAATCCCACTCAACCACGGGGAGTGAAGCATGCGATTCCCTCTCTCCCCGCTCTCTCTCCTCATCTTGGAGAGTGAATCACTCCCGCCCAAGAGGAAGCGAGACGCGCAAGCGCCCTTGGCAGGAAGTCACGAGGCCCCGGACGAGAAACCGAGGAAGCAGCGGCTGCACGAGATAAGGACGTGCGCGGGGGGTAGGAGAGCAGTACGGATCACACCACCACGCCCCACCGGTGACTCAGAGCACGCACCACACCACCACGCCCCACTGGTGGCCCAGAGCACGCACCACACCACCACGCCCCACTGGTGGCCCAGAGCACGCACCACACCACCACGCCCCACCGGTGGCCCAGAGCACGCACCACACCACCAGGTCCCACCGGTGGCCCAGAGCACGCACCACCCCACCACGCCCCACCGGTGACTCAGAGCACGTACCACACCACCAGGTCCCACCGGTGGCCCAGAGCACGCACCACACCACCAGGTCCCACCGGTGGCCCAGAGCACGCACCACACCACCACACCCCACCGGTGGCCCAGAGCACGCACCACACCATAACCCACCAGCAGTGCCTCAGAGCACGCACCACACCACCACACCCCACCAGTGACTCAGAGCACGCACCACACCACCACGCCCCACCAGTGACTCAGAGCATGCACCACACCATAACCCACCAGCAGTGACTCAGAGGACACACCACACCACCACGCCCAACCAGTGACTCCACCAGCAGTGGCTTCTAGACCACCCCACGACTCCTCACACCCAGCACGCGCCACACCTCACTGGGAACTCAGAGCTCACAGCACAACCACCCTCACTCAACCACAACCACCCTCACTCAACCACAACCACCCTCACTCAACCACAACCACCCTCACTCAACCACCCTCACTCAACCACAACCACCCTCACTCAACCACAACCACCCTCACTCAACCACAACCACCCTCACTCAACCACAACCACCCTCAACCACAACCACCCTCACTCAACCACCCTCACTCAACCACCCTCACTCAACCACCCTCACTCAACCACCCTCACTCAACCACAACCACCCTCACTCAACCACAACCACCCTCACTCAACCATCCTCACTCAACCACCCTCACTCAACCACCCTCACTGAACCGCAACCACTCTCATTCAACCACAACCACCATCACTCAACCACAACCACCCTCATTCAACCACAACCACCTTCACTCAACCACAACCACCCTCACTCAACCACCCTCACTCAACCACCCTCACTCAACCACAACCACCCTCACTCAACCACAACCACCCTCACTCAACCACAACCACCCTCACTCAACCACCCTCACTCCACCACAACCACCCTCACTCCACCACAACCACCCTCACTCCACCACAACCACCCTCACTCAACCACAACCACCCTCACTCAACCACCCTCACTCAACCACCCTCACTCAACCACCCTCACTGAACCGCAACCACTCTCATTCAACCACAACCACCATCACTCAACCACAACCACCCTCATTCAACCACAACCACCTTCACTCAACCGCAACCACCCTCACTCAACCACCTTCACTCAACCACAACCACCCTCACTCAACCACCCTCACTCAACCACCCTCACTCAACCACAACCACCCTCACTCAACCACAACCACCCTCACTCAACCACACTCACTCCACCACAACCACCCTCACTCCACCACAACCACCCTCACTCCACCACAACCACCCTCACTCAACCGCAACCACCCTCACTCAACCACAACCACCCTCACTCAACCACAACCACCCTCACTCAACCACCTTCACTCAACCGCAACCACCCTCACTTAACCACAACCACCATCACTCAACCACAACCACCCTCACTCAACCACAACCACCCTTACTCAACCACAACCACCCTTACTCAACCACCTTCACTCAACCACCCCACCCCACACCGCCCGGCAGCGTCTCGCCTGGCCCCCACCACACATGCCGCAGGAGCCCCCCAAATGTCATCATTCCCAGCGGCTGGGGATTCCAGGTGGCCAGGGCACAACAGTTCGGCTCGGATCCTGGAATACATCTTTGCACAAATTTGAGCGTCAAATATTCAAATGAGTGGTGGGCTTTCTCTGATTGTTTTCATTCTGCAGGAAGCCAAACTGTCATTAATTATAATGATTTTGCATTTTAACCAGGAAAGCCTCTCCGGACTCACTGAGTCTCAAGACTCGGTGGGTCCTGGCAAGTTCTCGCAGGAGTGGTGATTTTGCTGCTATGTGAAATCCCTATTGAGTAATTTGCAGATATTTCAGCATTAGGATGTTTGACCAATCGGGTTACACTGTGTGTGGCTTCAGCAATGGGAGGAGGAAATACAAACAGAATGGGGGGAGGACATACTAACTCCAACAACAACAGCTGCCATTCGCCACTACGTGGCAGTGACATCACCCCAACGCTTGTGCCAGTTTAGGTGTACTTTGAGACCACATGCAATGTCGAAGGCTAGCTGACAGGTGGTCAGGGGACAGACCCCTGTATTACGGGTTGGCTGAAATGACCGGCTGATGCACCACCTGTGCTCCCTACTGTGCCAACCTGCTGCATTTTATCCACCCGGCGCTCCCCTTATTGTTATGAGCGTCGCTCCTCTACCCTCCGTTGCTGTTGTTTGGTGACTGCCGCAAACTGCCCAGTAGCAGCGCGCTTCACGTGCCTCCTGCATAGAGGCCGATCTTGACACTGCTGGTAACGGTCTTCGGCAAGTCCATTCGGCTCCACATCTTCACGTACTACATCAGTCCACACCTACTCTAGCCCGTGCCGTGGCCGTTTAGCCCCCTATAGCCGGCCACATAGAAGCTGCTTGGGCATGCACTGGCTGGGCATGGTAGGCAACATGACCCAACCAATGAAACCTCACCTGCCGAAGGAGCTCACTGATACGACTGTGTTCAGAGCTTCCAAGGATCTGTGAGCTCCTCACACAATCGAGTCTCGTTAATCCCAGAATGGTTTGGAGACAGGTCAGCCTGAATGTGTCTAAACGGTGCAAATGTTCCTACAGCGGGATCCACGTTTTGCAGGTATAGAGAAGAGAGGGCGTTAACTGTGGCCGAAAAGATCAGAAGCTTCGTATGGAGCGACAGGCCAGGTCGGTTCAACACAGCATTGTGGAATGCAAGCTCCACACACTCACTCTCGCTCTTACTAGTTCACACTCTCGAGTTGATAGAACAGGGAGAGAACATACAAACTCCACACAGAACGCAATCCAAGTTGGGTATCGAACCCAGGAAGTTCGTGCTTCGTGGCACAAGTTTATCCGCCTGAGGCGCGCGCGCTCCCGGGGCGCTCCCGGGCCGCGCTCCCGGGCCGCGCTCCCGGGCCGCGCTCCCGGGCCGCGCTCCCAGCAGCGGCTGGCGGGGCCGTTTGTGAGGGGGCCGAGGGAGCCGACGGAGGGAGCTGATGGAGCCGAGGGAGCCGAGGGAGCCGACGGAGCCGGGGGGGCCGACGGAGCCGGGGGGGCCGGGGGGGCCGACGGAGCCGGGGGGGGGCGACGGCGCGAGCAGAGGGAGCCGACACTGACTTTCTCACACATCAACAACAACCGTCATTCGCCACTAAGTGGCGGTGACGTCACCACGACGCTTGTGCCAGGCTATGTGCACCTTGAGGCTACGTGAAGTGTCGAACGCCCGCTGGCAGGAGGTCACGGGGCAGACCCAGGTGCCACGGGTCGACTGACTGAGATGACTGGCTGATGCACCACCTGTGCCCCCTACCGTGCCAACCTGCTGTGCTTTAGCCACCCGGCGCTCCGCTCGTTGTTGTGAGCGTCGGTCCTCCGCCCTCCGTTGTTGTTGGAGGGCGACTGCCTCCAACTGCCCAATAGCGTCCTTCACGAGCCTCCTCCACAGAGGCCAATCTTGACACCGCTGGTACCAGTCATCGGCAAGTCCACACAGCTCCACATCCTCCTGTACCACATCACTCCATCTCTTCTCTAGCCCGTGCCGCACCCGTTTAGCCCCCTCGATCCGGCCGAACAAAAGCTGTTTCGGCATGCGGTGGCTGGGCATGCGGGCTACATGACCCAGCCAACGCAGCCTTGCCTGTCGGAGCTTACCAATGAGACCTTGCCCAGATCTTTCAAGGATTTGTGAGCTCCTCACACAATCCAGCCTGGTTAAACCCAGGATGGATTGTAGGCAGGCTAGCCTAAATGTTTCTAACCGGCGAAGATGTTCCATTAAGGGGGTCCACGTTTCGCAAGCGTAGAGGAGGGAATGACCGGGGCCGAGAAGACCTGAAGCTTAGTGCGGAGCGACAGACCAAGTAGCTTCCACACAGCGTTATGCAACCGATGAAAAGATATTGCCGCTCGATTGATTCGGAGTGAGACCTCTGCTGTTAAACTGGAACCAGTCATAAGCACACTGCCCAAGTATGGGAACTCTCCACTCTCTCCACAACTGCCCCATCACCGATTGGGAGTTGTGGGGGTGGAGTGTCCGATGGTACAAAATATCCAGGCAGGTGCTTAGTTTTGGTGGGGCTGATGGTAAGGCCCCATCTCATAGTGGCACGCTCCAGTCTCAGCAGCAGCGTCTCCAACTCCTCCTCTGGATGAGCAGCTATTACCAAATCATCGGCATACATAACGTGGTTGAGCACTCACACCATGCAATGATTCACTCACACATCATGCACTGATTCGCTCATCATGCGCTTACTCACTCACACATCATACACTCGCACAACCACTGACCCATTCACTCATCATACACAGGTTCACTCATCGTGTGCTGACTCGCTCACACATCATACACTCACTCACACTGCCACTGACTCGCTCACACATCATACACTGACTCACTCATCATGCGCTGACTCACACATCATACACTCACTCACACTGCCGCTGACTCGCTCAAACATCATACACTGACTCACACATCATACGCCGACTCGCACATCATACGCTGACTCGCACATCATACACTCACTCACGCTGCTGCTGACTCACTCACACATCATACACTAACTCACACATCATACACTCACTCACTCATCATACGCTGACTCGCACATCATACACTCACGCTGCTGCTGACTCACACATACACTGGGAGTGTCGTGCTGCCAGCTATGGTTGCAGTTTTTTGTCGTACGTGTTATGTATATCGTTTATTGTTAAATTTAAAATCACAGTTTCTATGATTACTGTTGTTACATTGTTTTTATAACTTTATTTTGGTGATTCGAAAACATATGGTTAATCTAAATTGTCTTATGGTTGTTGTTGTTGGCTTGCACCACGTTGATTTTTGCACACAGCGTTTTAATAAGCGTTTTTTTGTGTGGAATATTTGCTGGTTTATTCCAGGATGTATCGGTTACGCGTTGTCGCTTTGAGATGTTCTGTGTTCAAATTTTGTTTGTTGCGGTTGCACCCGACTTAAGAGCCGCATGGCTCACAGGGCTATGGCTAATAAATGAAACTTGAAATGCAACTTGAAACCCACTGCGCCACCCGGCCGCCTGAATGGAATTCATGGCCAGACATCTCAACGGAGCAGGGAGGGACCTCCTGAGAGAGATTCCTGAGCCGGTTAGCGGTACCAGCTGACTCGGGCGCGTGTGAACCCCAGCACGGTCACTGAAGAAGGCGCAGCAGCAACAACAATAAACCCGACACAGTGCAGAGGTGAAGCAGTGTCACCAAATAATGTGTGTACTGTGTGTGTACGTATGTACTGTGCGTATTGTCACGTGTACGCTGTGTGTGTACTGCACCGTCAGGAGCAGCAGCAATTCAACCCCCGCGACTGCCCCGTAGCTGTTTGTTCCCGAAGGGGAACAGCACAGGAGCCCAGCAAGCAGCGGCATGCGGCGAACACAGCAGCAGCAGCAGCACATCGCCACTTACCCACAGCCCCATTAATACCCATACCATCGTTATGGGCACCATCACCAAAATAATAACAAAACACCGATTACGACCACCAACCCTCACCATCCCATCGTCACTACCATAACCACGATAAAAACGTTACTGTCGCAACCACCATCGATCATCAGCTGCCATAATCACCAGCACCGCAATCAGGCAGGCCGTGATCACGGCCACTCCATCACCATCATCACAATAATCATCACCATCATTACCATCATCACCATCACCACAATCACCACCATCACAATCACAATCACCACAATCACCACCATCACCATCATCACCATCACCACAATCACCCCCATCACCACCACCACAACAATCACCACCGCTACCACCATCGTGAGCGGCAAGACTCCAGCGGGGTCGACACCACCATCATCACAATAATCCCCACCATCATCACCATCATCACCATCACGACAATCACCACCATTACCACCACCACCACAACAATCACCACCACCACAACAATCACCACCAGCATCACCACCATCACCACCAGCATCACCACCAGCATCACCACCACCACAACCACCACCACCACAACCACCATCACCACAACCACCACCACAACCACCACCATCACCACCACCACAACCACCACCACCACAACCACCACCACCACATCCACCACCATCACCACCACCACCACAACCACCACCACAACCACCATCACCACCACAACCGCCATCACCACCACCACAACCACCACCACCACCACATCCATCACCACCACAACCACCACCACAACCACCACCACATCCACCACCATCACCACCACATCCACCACCATCACCACCACATCCACCACCATCACCACCACCACAACCACCACCACAACCACCATCACCACCACCACAACCACCACCACCACAACCACCATCACCACCATCACCACCACAACCACCACCATCACCAGGCGCGAGAGTCCCGCGCCGCCCGTGGGAAGCGCCGGGAGCGCTCTGCGGGGATGTTGGCCCCGTGGGGACCCCTGGGGAGCAGCAGGGACACGGGGTCGGGGACGATTGACCAAAGAGCAGGAGACAGCGACTCACCTCCAGTGGGGTCCAGCCGGAACGTCGTCGCCGCCTCCTCCTCCTCGTCTCCCCTCTCCCTCCTCCCCCCGCGCCCTGCGGCCCCTGACGCCCCCCCCCACACACACTCCGGGGGGCCCCGCCCCTCGTTTCCTATCCTCCAGTCACGTGAGGGCTGTCGCCCCGCCCCTCGCGCTCGTACGTATCACGTGACGTGAAAAGAGGAAATGCCCGGCGTGCCCCAAACACCCCCCTCGCCCCGCCCCCCTCACGGAGACACGGAGTGACAGACAGCCTCACGGAGACACGGAGACACGAGGTGATAGACAGCCTCACGGAGACACGAGGTGATAGACAGCCTCACAGAGACACTAGGTGACAGACAGCCTCACGGAGACACGGAGTGACAGACAGCCTCACGGAGACACGAGGTGACAGACAGCCTCACGGAGACACTAGGTGACAGACAGCCTCACAGAGACACGGAGTGACAGACAGCCTCACGGAGACACGGAGTGACAGACAGCCTCACGGAGACACGAGGTGACAGACAGCCTCACAGAGACACGGAGACACGAGGTGATAGACAGCCTCACGGAGACACGGAGTGACAGACAGCCTCACAGAGACACGGAGTGACAGACAGCCTCACAGAGACACTAGGTGACAGACAGCCTCACGGAGACACGGAGACACGAGGTGACAGACAGCCTCACGGAAACACGGAGACACGGAGTGACCGACAGCCTCACGGAGTGACAGACAGCCTCACGGAGACACGAGGTGACAGACAGCCTCACGGAGACACGAGGTGACAGACAGCCTCACGGAGACACGGGGGAGACACGGCAACTCGGCGGACACAAAGACCCAGGGACGCAGAGACAGTGGGGTGTAGACAAAACAGACACGGAGATACAGAGACACGGGGACACAGAGACACGGGGACACGGGGAGCATAAACACACGGGGACACAGAGAGGCGGGGACGCGTGATCTGCGTGACACAGCCGTGTTTGGGAACATAATGTTTATAAACAACGAGAGAGGCGGGGACAGCGGAGACACGGGGCAGAGCAGGGCCCGGGGGAACTGGGAGAGGGGGACCCTGCCCCCACGGGTCCCTGTGAGGGGTCGTGGCCCATCATCCTTACAAGGTTAATCAAATGGGTACCACGTTGTGATGAGGTCAAGTCTTTGCTCTATGGATAAACTCGGCAATGTGGAATTTCGACAACTGGCCTTTGCAGGACTATAAACGTGAATTGAGCAACGATTACTCAATGGCCACGTGAATAGGGAACACTCGTTGGGACTGTGAGTAGGGAACACTCGTTGGGACTGTGAGTAGGGAACTCACTCGCTAGGACTGTGAATAGGGAACTCACTCGCTAGGACTGTGAATAGGGAACTCACTCGCTAGGACTGTGAGTAGGGAACTCACTCGCTAGAACTGTGAATAGGGAACTCACTCGCTAGGACTGTGAATAGGGAACTCACTCGCTAGGACTGTGAGTAGGGAACTCACTCGCTAGAACTGTGAATAGGGAACTCACTCGCTGTTACTGTGAATAGGGAACTCACTTGCTAGAACTGTGAATAGGGAACTCACTCGCTGGGACTGTGAATAGGGAACTCACTCGCTAGGACTGTGAATAGGGAACTCACTCGCTAGGACTGTGAATAGGGAACTCACTCGCTAGGACTGTGAATAGGGAACTCACTCGCTAGGACTGTGAATAGGGAACTCACTCGCTGTTACTGTGAATAAGGAACTCACTCGCTGGGACTGTGAATAGGGAACTCACTCGCTAGGACTGTGAATAGGGAACTCACTCGCTGTTACTGTGAATAGGGAACTCACTTGCTAGAACTGTGAATAGGGAACTCACTCGCTGGGACTGTGAATAGGGAACTCACTCGCTAGGACTGTGAATAGGGAACTCACTCGCTAGGACTGTGAATAGGGAACTCACTCGCTAGGACTGTGAATAGGGAACTCACTCGCTAGGACTGTGAATAGGGAACTCACTCGCTGTTACTGTGAATAGGGAACTCACTCGCTGGGACTGTGAATAGGGAACTCACTCGCTAGGACTGTGAATAGGGAACTCACTCGCTAGGACTGTGAGTAGGGAACTCACTCGCTAGAACTGTGAATAGGGAACTCACTCGCTGTTACTGTGAATAGGGAACTCACTCGCTAGAACTGTGAATAGGGAACTCACTCGCTGGGACTGTGAATAGGGAACTCACTCGCTAGGACTGTGAGTAGGGAACTCACTCGCTAGGACTGTGAATAGGGAACACTCGTTGGGACTGTGAGTAGGGAACACTCGCTAGGACTGTGAATAGGGAACACTCGCTAGGACTGTGAATAGGGAACTCACTCGCTGTTACTGTGAATAGGGAACACTCGTTGGGACTGTGAGTAGGGAACACTCGCTAGGACTGTGAATAGGGAACTCACTCGCTGTTACTGTGAATAGGGAACTCACTCGCTGTTACTGTGAATAGGGAACTCACTCGCTAGGACTGTGAATGGGAACTCACTCGCTGGGACTATGAATAGGGAACTCACTCGCTGGGAATCTGAATAGGGAACTCACTCGCTGGGACTGTGAATAGGGAACTCACTCGCTAGGACTGTGAATAGGGAACTCACTCGCTAGGACTGTGAATAGGGAACTCACTCGCTAGGACTGTGAATAGGGAACTCACTCGCTGGGACTATGAATAGGGAACTCACTCGCTGGGACTGTGAATAGGGAACTCACTCGCTGTTACTGTGAATAGGGAACTCACTCGCTAGGACTGTGAATAGGGAACTCACTCGCTGGGACTGTGAATAGGAAACACTCGCTGGGACTGTGAATAGGAAACACTCGCTAGAACTGTGAATAGGGAACTCACTCGCTGGGACTGTGAATAGGGAACTCACTCGCTGTTACTGTGAATAGGGAACTCACTCGCTGGGACTGTGAATAGGAAACACTCGCTGGGACTGTGAATAGGAAACACTCGCTGGGACTGTGAATAGGAAACACTCGCTAGAACTGTGAATAGGGAACTCACTCGCTGTTACTGTGAATAGGGAACTCACTCGCTAGGACTGTGAATGGGAACTCACTCGCTGGGACGCGCTGCGAGGCGCTGCGTCTCCGTGCCACGGCGAGCCTCGGGCAGGGCTCGCAACCCCGGCGCGGGGGTCGCGGCCCCTGAGTCAATCCGGGATGATGAGGCTCACTCCACGCCATGGGGGTTACTTGACCATACTTCACCACGCTGGTCAGTGCGGGTTGGTGGAGAGGGGAGATCAGGAACGGTTCTGATAGCACTGGCCATTGATGTTAGCCGTGGTTGGGAATTGAACTCTAATGACCGCTCAACTCCATTTGCGTTATTGCTGTGTTTAAGATCATTGCTGTGTACTGACGTTCGTTTTAATTGAGGCGTTTAAGTGTATACATGACTTTGAGTCTATATAGGTCCTCTATTCGTGCGTATTGGCCTCTATTGGTGTAGAGATCTCTATTGTTGTGTATCGGCTCTGTGGTTGTTATAGCTGTCTGCGGCATTATTCGTGGGGGAAAACCCGGGCCAGTCCCTGCCTCCTCATGGAACTATTCACTGTCACGCGGACACAGTCACACAGACATGCACGTCGACACGCACGTGCACACAGACACACACATAGGCACTGACACACACATTCCCCTTGAAATAACGAAGTGGCGGTGACGTCACCACGGCGCTTGTGCCAGGCTAGGTGCACGTTGAGGCCACGTGAAGTATCGAACGCCCGCCGGCAGGAGGTCACGGGGCAGACCCAGCAGGTTCCAGGGGTCGATTGACTGAGATGAGTGGCTGATGCACCACCCGTGCCCCCTACTGTGCCAACCTGCTTTGCCTTAGTCACCCGGCGCTCCGCTCGTTGTTGTGAGCGTCGCTCCTCCGCCCTCCGTTGTTGCTGGAGGGCGGCTGCCTCCAACTGCCCAGTAGCAGCGTCCTTCACGAGCCTCCTCCACAGAGGCCGATCTTGACACCGCTGGTACCGGTCATCGGCAAGTCCACGCAGCTCCACATCCTCCTGTACCAGAATCTCTTCACACACAAATACCCGCGTCATTCGCCACTAAGTGCGGTGACGTCACCACGGCGCTTGTGCCAGGCTATGTGCACTTTGAGGCCACGTGAAGTATCGGAGGCTCGCTGACAGGAGGTTGGCTGACTGAGATGATTGGTAGATGCACCAGCTGTACCCCCTACCGTTCCAACTTCACACACACACTCACTGACACACACATTCCAATTGATACACTGACACACACACCCACACACCGACACAGAGTCACTGACACATACATTCCCATTGATACACTGACACACACACGCAGAATACATTGACACACACTCACACACGCAGATACACTGACACACACACACGCAGAATGTCAGACGCAGATGAAGGAAGGAGCCACGGGTTTCACGCTCTGTGCCTGCCGGGCACCACCAGCGTCATCCTCTTGGGGTGACAGCGACGGGGAAGTCGCCCAGTCCCTCTCACGCCGAGTGCTTCCACAGGCCACACCCAGAGGAGCGTCACCCAGATTCTCAGGGGACATGGCCCGGCTCTCCCTGCTGCTGCTCCCCCTGCTGCTGCTACCCCTGGCCGCCTGCGCCACCCCCGAGCCGGGGTCGAGGCTGGGACCCGGAGTGAATGGTGGTTTCGGGTGCCTGGGTGAGTTTGGGGATTCTTCACCACTCAACTCATTCGCCACCTTTCAATTTTCACAACTCCTCACGCTTCATGCCAAACCGCTCACCACACGCCACTCGCACCCCCATTTATCTCACTCACCCCTCACCACTCACCCCTCACCCCGCTCACTCAATCTGGGTGGGTTCTGTGGCTCCAGGTGCAGCTGTGGTGGTGGTGGTGAGCATTGGTGAGTGGTGGTGGGCTGTGGTGAGTTGTGGTGTTTCCTCGTTGATGGTAACTGGTGCTAGTGAATGTTGGTGAGCTCTGTTGAGTGGTTGTTTTGGTGAGCTATGGTGAGAATTGGTGAGTGTTTGAGTTCTGTGGTGGGTGTTGGTGAGTGTTGGTGAACTCTGGTTGATGGTAACTGGTGGTAATGGAGGTGGTAATGGAGGTGGTAATGGAGGTTTGAGAGTTGTGCCCAGCGGTTTCGTTGGTAAGCCCTGGTTCGTAATGGTGAACTTTGGTTTTCAAAAGTGGTGAGCGTTGTTGAGTTGGTGAGCAGTGGTAATTGTATCACTGCTCACCAACTATCCCCACCGTGTCCAGGCTGCGTGATCGCGGTGAGCATGGTGCAGCAGTTGTCAGAGATTCACAACGACTCCATCTCGAGCGCCGTGGCGAGGCTGTGTGGGGTGCTACCTGGTGAGGACACATCAACACGTACCACCTGCACCACCACCACCACCAACACGTGCCACCTGCCGCCTGAGCTACCACCAACACGTGCCACCTGGGTCACCTGCACTCATTTCCCACAGAGACCCACAACCTGCGAGCCTCGTGTCAGATCCTGCTCCAGGTGTTCGGGCCAAGCATCATATGGATGTGAGTACCAGGTTCATGGTTCAGTGCATAAGTGATTGAATGAACGAGTAAATTAGTGAGTGAATGAGTGAGTTGTGGTCAGGGCCGGATCACGGCGTGGGGGCTTTAGGGGCTGCAGCCCAGGGGCCTCCGCCAGCTGGAGGGACTCCAGAGATGAAGTGAGAAGTTTTTTCATTTGTGAATGATGAATTTGATTTGTTGTTAGCCTTGCAAAAATAAAATTATATTTTTCTTTAACTTTGTTTTCCTTTTGAAAATATTACTGGGGGCCTCACAATACCTGTAGCCCAGGGGCCTACAAAATCTTAATCCGGGCCTGGTTGGTGTGTGTGGTTTGGTGTGTGTGGGGCCTGGTGTGTGTGGTGTGTGTCCAGTGTGGTGTGTGCCCAGTGTGGTGTGTGCATGCGATTTGCGGTGTGGTGTAGGTTGTGGTGTGTGGTGTGCGGTGTGTTCAGCGCTGTGTGTGGTGTAGGTTGCGGTGTGCAGCGTGCGGTGTGTGCGGTGCTGTGTGTGGTGTAGGTTGCGGTGTGCAGCGTGCTGTGTGCGGCGCTGTGTGCAGGTTGAACACGGAGGTCACGCCGGACGTGGTGTGCCACGCCCTCGCGTTGTGCCGGCGGGACCCTGGAGAGGCGTTCTGCCACACGTTCCCTCTGCCCAGGGTGGGGCCCGACTCCGCACAACAACAGCGGCCTTAACATGCAGTCATTGTCATCAATAGCATCACCCATGGTCTACCCACTGTTTTCATGAAGGCCATCCCACGCCGCCACCATCCCTCATGGGCGCGTGATCTCGCTCTTTGGCTGCTAACGGCCATCCACCTCTGTCGCCACGACGCGTGCTGCCCAAGTCAGCGTGCTTCTCTGAACGGGCCGTGCGGTGTTTCCTCTTACCTCGGGTGCTCCTCTCTCCGTCTCTCGGCGTAATCACCAAGTTGCTTGCCGCACTCGGCAACGGCGTCCATCCAGGACAATAAAATGAGCACCGCTTTGTGGGGAACATCAACAGTGGTCGTCCTGTGGAGAGACTCGCCCCCACCATGGGAATGTGGAATCCCTACCGCTGGCTCGGCGATGTAAACAGGAGACGAGCACCGCTGTATGTATGATGATCGGAGGTGCGGGGGAAGGACAGCAAACTAAACACACGGCAGTGCCCGCGTGAGTGGGACACAGAGCCGCTCAGGTTGTCTCACGGTGACCCGTGTCCCCCTACCCGCCGTGAATGCAGGGGGGCCTGCACAAGGCCGTGGAGGCGGCGAGACGTCTGGCGCTCAGCTCCTCCGTGCCGGTAAGAGACCTGGGTCGGCGTCCTTGGGGGGTTATTAACCGGGTCGTTGGGTCGCTGAGCCACGCATGCTCCTGTTCTGGAGCCCGGGTCAGCGAGGCTGCCTCGTGATGCCCTGACCCCGCGTCGCCCTCAGGATAAATTCCTGGAGCTGTCGGGAATCTGCGCCCTCCCCAAGATCCGAGATCTCTGCGAGCTCATTCAGAGGTACGCGCAAGAGATCTCAACTCCTGAACAACGTCCACTCGCTCTCACACTGCGACCACCACCGCACTGCAGGTCACTCCGCCCACTCACCCACTCCCCCAATGTGCAGGTGCTGACCAAAATGAGTGACTACATTGTGAAAAGTTACCAGTGCCGTCACTGTATCGGATCGTGGTGTTAAGTAGCTCTTGCGTTGATTGGTTGCGTTAGATGTGTCGTGTTCATGAGATGCGCGTGGTGTCAATTAGACGAGACTACGAAATTGGCGTCTTGTGTCTGGGTGGCGAGTTTGGGGGTCATGACGCCGTGAGTCCGCAAGGATAGATCATGGCCGATGATGTATTTCACGCAGGTCTTGGTCTCATCACATCCCAGCTCAAGATGGTGATGGGGACCTCTTCAGCACCGTCCCTGTGAGTGTCCTGAACAAACATCATCGTCAACATCGTCAACATCGTTAACATCGTCGTCGTCATCATCGTGGAATGCGCACAGCTGCTCAGCAGACACCCACGCTGGCTGTATCCCGGCTGCTCCCCCCCCCCCCCCCCCCCCCCCAGGTGTTCCGCGGCTCGCACTGGCGCGGAAGGGACTGTGCGGACCGCAGCGCAGACGTGCACCCCGGCCGCAGGTGCATACCATCTCACTCCACCTCGTCACCCTCCACCTTCACCTTACTAGGGGACATCCATCGAGTACGTACGCATGGAGGGGGAGTTAACCCAAATGTGTTCGCTTGCGTATGGGGGGTCTACTGTCAATGTATGCTTAGGAAACGGGGGGGGGGGGTGAAGCTTCGATAATAATTTGTCTACATTGGCCTTCAATTGAGTTAGATAGTCCGGCGGTGGCCTATCTGTTTGCTTAAACACATTAGTATTAATTATTAATCCTTGATCGTTTCTGCGTGGATTAAATATCGGCCGTTCTATAGGAAACAGGGGGGGGGGGTGCGTCAGGCGAACCTACGCAGGTGGGGGGGGGGGGTAAAAAGTCCGCGTGCGTACAGGGAGGGGGGGGAGGCGTCAAGTTTGACAGATTTTTTGCGTGCCTACTAAATGGATGGCCCCTTACCACGCCCTCCCAATACCTTGTCACATTTTGATGGCCAGAGTTTCACCTCCCGTGTCTCACACCCCGTATCTCATCCTCACCTTTCTCACTCTCCATCTTGTTTCAGGCCAAAAAACCAGGATGCGTTCGAGGACTCGAACTGCAACGGCATCTGGGTGAGGAGGATCAGCCCTCGCATCACCCTCACTCACCGCACTTACCCTCATGGCTCTCACTTGCCATCACCAATACTCCATCCTCACTCACCATCACCATCCTCACCATCACTCACCCTCACCCCAGTAGGCAGTAACACCTCTGGGTGGACAATGAGTGTCGTAATGTGGGGAGTGTTGGCACAGTAGTGAGCTCACTGCCCTATAAACCCGGCGACCTTAATTCACGTCACCCTCGTCACCAATAACAGTGACGCTAATCTAAACTGATCCTGGAATCAGCCTGAAATGATTACTTGATGCGGTGTGTAAACATCGCCACTGAGGAGACAAAGGCGGACGGGCGTGGTGCTGACCACCCACCCCTCTGTGTGCCGTGCCGGCTCGCTAACAGCACTTGCCCCAACAGTCTGTAAGGTTATACGGGGGATCTTTGTCTTTATGTGCGGGGCACAGGGAGTGGACCCGGCAGACGGCGTCGCTTACGAGAAGAAGTTCTGCGAAAGTGAGGAGCGTCCGCGCCTCACCCTTGACCTGAGCCCCTACCTCTGTGCTCAACTCCTACCTCTGACCCAAGCCTCACCCTTGACCTCAGCCACTAGCCTGACCCCACACCTTGCCTCAGACCCTGACACCGACTGAACGCGAGCACCATCGGGACAGCGCGGGGCTCAGGGTTTGAGCTGTTATCTTCTTCTTTCGTATGGCACGTGTCAGCGTGGTGGTGAGGGTGTCGTGAGTGTGATGTGAGCAGTGAGTGTGGTGCGTGCTTGTGAGCAAGATTGATGACCGCATGGTGAGAGTGATGGTGAGTGGAGGTGAGGAACGTTGTGGCGAGACGGCGGCGAGTGGGCGTGGCCAGCGTAGTGAGTGGTGGCGGGGAGTGAGCAGTGGTGAGCGTGGCCGATGCTGCCCCTCACCCCAGATTCTCGCCCGCGTGGCCTCGTGCTCCTGGGGGACTCGGCCGGAGCCCATTTCCACATCCCTGCCGCGTGGATGACCGGGGAACTCCTCTCTCCCGTGAGACTTCATCTTCGGCAGCAACCACGTCACCCTTCACGTCACCACCATCGCTATTATGACCACCACGGCCAGTAACACCATCGTCATCCATGTCACCATCACCATCGTGACCCGCAAACAGCATCTTCTTTATCATCATCTCAACCAGCACCACCACCACATCGCACTGTAGCCTGAGGCTGTGAGACTGAGTAACGTGAGGCGGTGAAATTGAGACAGAGATTGTGACACTGTGAGATTGTTACACCGTGACACTGGGTGACATTGTGACACTGTGAGATTGTGACACTGAGATTGTGACACCGTGACACTTGTGAAATTGTGACACCGTGACACTGTGAGATTGTGATACTGTGACACTGGGTGACACTGAGATTGTGACACCGTGACACTGTGATATTGTGACATCGTGACACTGGGTGACACTGTGAGATTGTGACACTGTGAGATTGTGACACTGTGAGATTGTGACACTGTGAGATTGTGACAGTGAAATTGTGACACCGTGACACTGTGAGATTGTGACACTGTGAGATTGTGACACCGTGACACTGTGAGATTGTGACACTGTGAGATTGTGATATTGTGACACTGTGAGATTGTGACACTGAGATTGTGACACTGTGCCACTGTGAGATTGTGACACTGTGAGATTGTGACACTGTGAGATTGTGACGCCGTGACACTGTGAGATTGTGACACCGTGACACTGTGAGATTGTGACACTGTGAGATTGTGACACCGTGACACTGTGAGATTGTGACACTGAGATTGTGACACTGTGACAAGGTGAGATTGTGACACTGAGATTGTGACACTGTGACACTGAGATTGTGACACTGTGACACTGTGAGATTGTGACACTGAGATTGTGACACTGTGAGATTGTGACACCGTGACACTGGGTGACACTGAGATTGTGACACTGTGAGATTGTGACACTGAGATTGTGACTGAGAGATTGTGACACCGTGACACTGGGTGACAATGGGTGACACTGTGACACTGTGACACTGTGAGATTGTGACACTGTGAGATTGTGACACTGTGAGATTGTGACACCGTGACACTGGGTGACACTGTGAGATTGTGACACTGAGATTGTGACACTGTGAGATTGTGACAGTGAGATTGTGACACCGTGACACTGGGTGACACTGTGAGATTGTGACACTGAGATTGTGACACTGTGAGATTGTGACACTGTGAGATTGTGACACCGTGACACTGTGAGATTGTGACACTGTGAGATTGTGACACTGTGAGATTGTGACACCGTGACACTGGGTGACACTGTGAGGCTGACCGAGTCCCCGTGTCCGTGTGCAGGAGGCGTTCTCAAACCTCCCCGTGGGTGACACTGTGAGATTGTGACACTGAGATTGTGACACTGTGAGATTGTGACACTGTGAGATTGTGACACCGTGACACTGTGAGATTGTGACACTGTGAGATTGTGACACTGTGAGATTGTGACACCGTGACACTGGGTGACACTGTGAGGCTGACCGAGTCCCCGTGTCCGTGTGCAGGAGGCGTTCTCAAACCTCCCCGTTGCCCTCGCTAACGAGCTGGACTGGCCACAGCTCTCGGCCTTCACAGGCTTCATGAACTCCAGCTGGGCCTCCATCACGTGAGACGTCAACACGACACGAATGAACGCGGCAACGCGCCACTAGTCAACAGAGCAACAGAACCTGACTCAACGCAATACGGCAATACAACACAATAACACGTGACTTAACACAACAACACTATAACTCACCAAAATACAAGCCACAACGTTGTGTGACTTGACACAATGTCACAAAGCGCAACTCAACACAGCGCGACTCACCACAACATAATTGAACACACCGTGACAACGCAACGTGAAGACACAACGCAACACAACGCGGCACGGCACGACAGGGTCACGACAGGGTCACGTGAGCTGACGCGACAAGTCGCAGTGGCACGGCTAACAGCGGGCCCTCGTCACGGCGTGCGCCGTACCAGGTCCCACACGGACTCGTTGTACCTGCGGCTGAGGGAGAGGAACCGGTGCAACCACAGAGACCTCCAGAACCTTGCGGTGAACGGTCAGTGTGTGTCACATATGGGGTGGAGGAGCCAATGTCACAGTGTCACTCTCACTGTGTCAGTGTCACCACCGCAGTGTCAGTGTCACCACCACAGTCTGTGTCACTCTCGCAGTGTCACTATCACAGTGTCACTATCACAGTGTCACTCTCGCTGTGTCAGTGTCACCATCGCAGTGTCAGTGTCACCACCACAGTCTGTGTCACTCTCACGGTGTCACTCTCGCTGTGTCAGTGTCACCATCGCAGTGTCAGTGTCACCACCACAGTCTGTGTCACTCTCACGGTGTCACTGTCGCAGTGTCACTATCGCAGTGTCACTATTACAGTGTCACTCTCGCAGTGTCACTCTCACAGTGTCACTATCACAGTGTCACTATTACAGTGTCACTCTCGCAGTGTCACTATCGCAGTGTCACTCTCACAGTGTCACTATCACAGTGTCACTCTCACAATGTCACTCTCGCAGTGTCACTATCGCAGTGTCACTCTCACAGTGTCACTCTCACAGTGTCACTCTCACAGTGTCACTATCGCAGTGTCACTCTCACAGTGTCACTATCACAGTGTCACTCTCACAATGTCACTATCACGGTGTCACTCTCGCAGTGTCACTCTCGCAGTGTCACTCTCGCAGTGTCACTATCACAGTGTCACTCTCACAGTGTCACTCTCACAGTGTCACTATCGCAGGGTCACTATCACAGTGTCACTCTCACAGTGTCACTCTCGCAGTGTCACTATCACAGTGTCACTATCACAGTGTCACTATCACTGTGTCACTCTCGCTGTGTCAGTGTCACCATCGCAGTGTCAGTGTCACCACCACAGTCTGTGTCACTCTCACGGTGTCACTCTCGCAGTGTCACTATCGCAGTGTCACTATTACAGTGTCACTCTCGCAGTGTCACTCTCACAGTGTCACTATCACAGTGTCACTATTACAGTGTCACTCTCGCAGTGTCACTATCGCAGTGTCACTCTCACAGTGTCACTATCAGTGTCACTCTCACAATGTCACTCTCGCAGTGTCACTATCGCAGTGTCACTCTCACAGTGTCACTATCACAGTGTCACTCTCACAATGTCACTCTCGCAGTGTCACTATCGCAGTGTCACTCTCACAGTGTCACTATCGCAGTGTCACTCTCACAGTGTCACTCTCACAGTGTCACTCTCACAGTGTCACTATCGCAGTGTCACTCTCACAGTGTCACTATCACAGTGTCACTCTCACAATGTCACTATCACGGTGTCACTCTCGCAGTGTCACTCTCGCAGTGTCACTCTCGCAGTGTCACTCTCGCAGTGTCACTATTACAGTGTCACTCTCACAGTGTCACTCTCACAGTGTCACTATCGCAGGGTCACTATCATAGTGTCACTCTCACAGTGTCACTCTCACAGTGTCACTCTCACAGTGTCATTCTCACAGTGTCACTCTCGCAGTGTCACTATCACAGTGTCACTCTCACAGTGTCACTATCACAGTGTCACTCTGACAGTGTCACTATTACAGTGTCACTCTCACGGTGTCACTCTCACAGTGCCACTATCGCAGTGTCACTATCGCAGTGTCACTATTACAGTGTCACTCTCGCAGTGTCACTCTCGCAGTGTCACTATCACAGTGTCACTCTCACAGTGTCACCCTCACAGTGTCACTATCACAGTGTCACTATCACAGTGTCACTCTCATAGTGTCACTATCACAGTGTCACTCTCACAGTGTCACTCTCGCAGTGTCATTCTCACAGTGTCACTCTCGCAGTGTCACTATCACAGTGTCACTCTCACAGTGTCACTATCAGTGTCACTCTGACAGTGTCACTATTACAGTGTCACTCTCACGGTGTCACTCTCACAGTGCCACTATCGCAGTGTCACTCTCGCAGTGTCACTCTCGCAGTGTCACTATCACAGTGTCACTATCACAGTGTCATTCTCACAGTGTCACTCTCGCAGTGTCACTATCACAATGTCACTCTCACAGTGTCACTATCACAGTGTCACTCTGACAGTGTCACTATTACAGTGTCACTCTCACGGTGTCACTATCACAGTGTCACTATCACAGTGTCACTCTCATAGTGTCACTATCACAGTGTCACTCTCACAGTGTCACTCTCGCAGTGTCATTCTCACAGTGTCACCCTCGCAGTGTCACTATCACAGTGTCACTCTGACAGTGTCACTATCACAGTGTCACTATCACAGTGTCATTCTCACAGTGTCACTCTCGCAGTGTCACTATCACAATGTCACTCTCACAGTGTCACTATCACAGTGTCACTCTGACAGTGTCACTATTACAGTGTCACTCTCACGGTGTCACTATCACGGTGTCACTCTGACAGTGTCACTATCACAGTGTCACTCTCACAGTGTCACTATCACAGTGTCACTCTCGCAGTGTCACTATCACGGTGTCACTCTCACAGTGTCACTCTCACAGTGTCACTCTCACAGTGTCACTATCACAGTGTCACTCTCACAGTGTCACTATCACGGTGTTACTCTCACGGTGTCACTATCACAGTGTCACTATCACGGTGTCACTCTCACGGTGTCACTATCACAGTGTCACTATTACAGTGTCACCATCACAGTTTGTGTCACTCTCACGGTGTCACTCTCACAGTGTCACTCTCACGTCTTCGTGCTGTTGCGATTTACAAACTTCGCGGCCACTCGGTGGCCAGGTCGTGAGGCCGCGCTGACCCTCTCGCTCTGCCTTGCAGCCACCGGCACCGCGGGGGGCAGCGCCCCCCATAGTGCGGACAACCGTTTTCCGGGCAGTGAGGGCGCCGATCGGACCAACGCAGCACCGGTTTAACGCGGCGCGAACGCGAGAGCCGAGGAGAGCACTCTGGGTCCCTGGTGGGGCCAGGCCGTCCCGTGGCCACGTCCTGGCCCGTTACACCCGACCCAAGGCCACCCCGGCTCGCCGGGGCCTAGCGGGCGAGCGGGCCCCGGCTCGCCGTAGCGGAGACGCAATGCGCCTGACTCCTGCGTGACCCCCATGTGACCCCCGTGTGACGCCCGCATGACCCCCGCGTGACCCCCGCGTGATCCCCGTGGTGTGTCGAGTGCAGGAGCCGCGTCCTCCACCGTCAAGGACTCCCTGACGAGGTGAGGGGATTCACCGGGGAGCTGGGGTAATTGAGGGTCTGGGTTCATGAGGAGCTGGCAATTTTGTGCTGCACTGGAGGAGCCATCACTGCAAAAATGTAGCTTCACTGTTGGTTTCTATGGAGATGATGGTCATTGTGATGGAGATAGGGATGGTGGCGATGATGGTGGTGTTGACGATGATGGTGGTGTTGACGATGATGGTAGTGGTGTGACCTCACGGGCGCTGCTTCTCTCCTCGCAGCTTCTCCCGGAACGAGAGCGACCACCCGGCCCTCCTCGTCTACTCGTTCATCGGCAATGACGTCTGCAACAAGTGAGGCTCCCTCCCCGTTCCGTCCCCCCCTCCTCAAGCAGCTGCATTGCTCAAGACTGTTACCTCCATGCGTGAGTAACCACCGCGTGCGTGCGTGCGTGAGCAGCGCCCGGGACACGGTGGCCGAGATGACGACGCCGGAGAAGATGCGAGAGAACGCCCTGGCTGCCCTCGCGGCCCTCAACAAGGCCCTGCCGCCCGGCAGCCACGTCCTCCTCACCGGCCTGGCCGACGGCCGCTTCCTGTGGGACCACCTGCACGGCCGCCTGCACCCCGTCGGCGAGTGCCGTCGCACGGTCGGCGGCGCTTGGCCCGGGACCCCGAGCGCCGCCCTTTGTCGCAGCCTGGAGCGCGTCCCCCCCCACGGGCAACGGGCCCCGGGGCAGTGGCACCGCCTGTACTCTCGATAGCTATGCCACTACTGTGGGTGCTGCCCTTTACATCTCATAGGTGCTGTGCCTAGAACTCGTAGGTGCTGCCCCCTGCACCATCGGGGAATTATAATTCAAGTGCCATCACCCCCCCCCCCCCGTAGCTGATTGATCCAAGTCCCCTTAGATATGGTGTGCGGTCACTGCGGCGGCGGCAGTGGTGGTGGTGGTGATGACGGTGGTGGTGGTGATGGTAGTGGCGGCAGTAGTGATGACAGTGGTGGTGGTGCTGGCGGTTGTGGTGATGACAGTGGTGTTGGTGCTGATGGTGGTGGTCGTTGTGGTGATGACGGTGGTAGTGGTGGTGGTAGTGGTGATGACAGTGGTGTTGGTGCTTATGGTGGTGGTCGTTGTGGTGATGACGGTGGTGGTGGTGGTCGTTGTGGTGATGGCGGTGGTGGTCGTTGTGGTTGTGGTGCTGATGGTGGCGGCGGTGATGACAGTGGTGGCGGTGGTGGCGGCGGTGGTGGCGGTGGTCGTTGTGATGAGGGCGGTGGTGGCGGTGGTGGTGCTGATAGTGGTGGCGGTGGTAGTGTACTGTTTTCCGGTGTCGGCCAACCCTGATGTGGCTCCGCGTCCCCGTGCAGGGCTGTGGAACGGCGACGTCACCTACGCCGATGTCTTCGCCTTCCTCGACTGCCTGCAGGTGAGCGTCATGCGGGCAGCCGCACGGCCTACGCGGGGCGTTTGCATTCTCGTTAATTACGGCGTGGGGGGGGGGGGGCGGCGTGGGGGGGGGGGCAATGTGGGGGGGGCAATATGGGGGGGGGCAATGTGGGGGGGGCAATGTGAGGGGGGCAATATGGGGGGGCAATGTGGGGGGGGGCAATGTGGGGGGGCAATGTGGGGGGGCATTGTGGGGGGGGGCAATGTGAGGGGAGGCAATGTGGGGGGGGGGGGGCGCCGTGGGGGGGGGGGAGCCGTGCACGAGTGGTGACGCCGCCTCCTCCGCCGTGTGCTGTGTGCAGCTCAGCCCCTGTGCCGGGTGGATGAGCGCCAACGCGTCCCTGCGTGACGCCACATCCGAGGTGAGCGCCACGCACGGCGACCGCACCGCTCACAACCATGAACTCGTCGTCGTTACAAAGCCTCGCCGAGTCTCCAGACTCCTTCAGGAGAGTCTTGTCAAGCGGCCGATGTTGCTGCTGTGTGCAACCCCAATTGAGTAGGTTGCAGGTGATGTTTCAGCATTGGGTTACGTAGCTAATACCGGTGACAGTGTGTGTGCGTGCAGAACAGGTTGAGAATGTACAGACTGCACAGGAAGGTGCCCGAGTCAGCAAGCGATGTTGTGCAATGTCGTATTGTGCTGTCTTGCTGGGCTATGTAATGTCGTATTGTGTTGTCTTGCTGGGCTATGTAATGTCGTATTGTGCTGTCTTGCTGGGCTATGTAATGTTGTCCTGTCTTGCTGGGCTATGTAATGTTGTGTTGTGCTGTCTTGCTGGGCTATGCAATGTTGTGTTGTGCTGTCCTACTGGGCTATGTAATGTCGTGTTGTGCTGTCTTGCTGGGCTATGTAATGTCGTGTTGTGCTGTCTTGCTGGGTTATGTAATGTTGTGTTGTGCTGTCTTGCTGGGCTATGTAATGTCGTGTTGTGCTGTCTTGCTGGACTATGTAATGTTGTGTTGTGCTGTCTTGCTGGGCTATGTAACGTCGTGTTGTGTTGTCTTGCTGGGCTATGTAATGTTGTGTTGTGCTGTCTTGCTGGGCTATGTAATGTCGTGTTGTGCTGTCTTGCTGGGCTATGTAATGTTGTGTTGTGCTGTCTTGCTGGGCTATGTAATGTCGTGTTGTGCTGTCTTGCTGGCTATGTAACGTCGTGTTGTGTTGTCTTGCTGGGCTATTTAATGTTGTTTTGTGCTGTCTTGCTGGGCTATGTAATGTTGTGTTGTCTTGCTGGGCTATGTAATGTCGTGTTGTGTTGTCTTGCTGGGCTATGTGATGTTGTGTTGTGCTGTCTTGCTGGGCTTTGTGATGTGCTGTCTTGCTGGGCTATGTAATGTTGTGTTGTGGTGTCCTACTGGGCAATGTAATGTTGTGTTGTGTTGTCTTGCTGGACTATGTAATGTCGTGTTGTGTTGTCTTGCTGGACTATGGAATGTCGTGTTGTGCTGTTTTGCTGGGCTATGTGATGTTGTGTTGTCTTGCTGGGCTATGTAATGTCGTGTTGTGCTGTCTTGCTGGCTATGTAATGTCGTGTTATGTTGTGCTGTCTTGCTGGGCTATGTAATGTTGTGTTGTGCTGTCTTGCTGGGCTATGTAATGTCGTATTGTGCTGTCTTGCTGGGCTATGTAATGTTGTGTTGTGCTGTCTTGCTGGGCTATGTAATGTCGTGTTGTGCTGTATTGCTGGACTATGTAATGTCGTGTTGTGCTGTCTTGCTGGGCTATGTAATGTTGTGTTGTGCTGTCCTACTGGGCTATGTAATGTTGTGCTGTCCTACTGATGTGTTTCGATTTAAAGCTTTCGTGACTGCAAGGATTCATCTTCTTTGGTTCTTTCGGTAAAGTCACGTAGAATGAGAAGAGCTCCAGCGCTGTCCTCCAGACAGTCTCGTCCCTTCACCTGATGAAGGCCGCTTGTGTTGTGGCTGAAACGTCGTGAGAATATTATTGCGTTATTTTATTTTATGAATTTATTATTTTATTCTCATTCTACGTGACTTTACCGAAAGAACCAAAGAAGATAATGACGTGTTGTGCTGTCTTGCTGGGCTATGTCATGTTGTGTTGTGCTGTATTGCTGGGCTATGTCATGTTGTGTTATGCTGTCCTACTGGGCTATGTAATGTTGTGCTATGCTACTGGGCTATGTAATGTTGTGCTGTCCTACTGGGCTATGTAATATTGTGTTGTACTGTCCTACTGGGATATGTAATGTTGTGTTGTGCTGTCTTGCTGGGCTATGTAATGTTGTGTAATGCTGTCCTACTGGGCTATGTAATGTTGTGCTATACTACTGGACTATGTAATGTTGTGCTGTCTTGCTGGGCTATGTAATGTTGTGCTGTCTTGCTGGGCTATGTAATGTTGTGTTGTCCTACTGGGCTATGTAATGTTGTGTTGTGCTGTCCTACTGGGCTATGTAATGTCGTGCTGTCCTACTGGGCTATGTAATGCCTAAAATGTTGTGCTGTGATCTGACCGTCGCTGCTGTCAGAGAGCGCAGCAGCTGTCGTCGGTGTTGGAGAAGATTGCCGCAACTCACAACTTCAGCAACTTCGACACTCACTACGTGGAGTACCCACTATCCAAGAGTGAGCACAAAGACAAAGATCCCTCGTAGAGGCTTAACATATTTTTGCTTTGAGTGAGCACTTATGAAGGCCGGCAAGATACACGAGGGGGTGGGTGGCCAGCACCATGCCCGGCCGCCTTTGTCTCCCCAGTTCGAATGTTTATACGCCACATCAGATACTTATTTGAGGCGAAGTCGACCAAGGGGAGACCCAGGATCGGTGCAGATAAATGTCACTGGTGTTGGCCATGAGCGGGAACCGAACTCGGGTCGCCGGTTTGAGAGGCTTACGTACGCGAGGGCCGTTATTGCCCCTTGCGTGGCTTGAGCTTTACTGCTGAAGCTGTCCTCGTGGGAATTGGGGGATTGGGCCACGATGTTTAATGGAAGGGGAGCGTTGGTGGGGCCGCGGGGCCCCTGTCGTGGCCGCTAAGCCATGCGGCGCTGTCGTGTGAATCCCTGCTGCTTAGAAAAATCTAGCGCCACAGCCAATCAGTAACCCTAACTTTAAAGCCCAACACGAACCCCTAAGCTGAACCATAACCTCAACCTTATCCCCATCTCAACCCGAACATTGATCCCTAAATCCATACTGAACCTCTCACTCCAACCGTAATCCTATCTTTAACCCTCTTCTCAAAATTATCCATAATCCTAGCTCCATCCCTTACCTACAGAGTATCCCGAACCCTATCTATGTCCAACACTCTTCCTTATCTAACTCAATCCAATCCATAAACAAAATCCTAACCCTATTCAAAACCACAACTATGTCCCAAACATAACCCCAGATCTGATCCGAACTAACCCCGATCCATGCCCCCCCTTGCTTCCATCCCCATGCACCTGCTTGCGACGCCGTTAACACTGGCACGGCCGCGAGCCCACAACAACAACAGCCCCGTCGTCGTTGTTGTGGTGGGCTCGCGGCAGCGTCTCCCTGTGGCGCCAGGGCTGGGCTGTGGCGTGGGGACCCCAGACGTGCCTCGTCTGTCGAGGTGGCCACGTGCGTGCGACGACCCAGCTCCTGAGACCGGTTTACCGGGCGAAGGCCCGGCCCGATTGAGACCTTTGCCCCGACCCCGCTGAGCGTCCGCGCCCCTTAACGCCCGGTGCCGATCTCTGGCAGTGGCCGAGGAATGGGCGCGGAGGGGCGGGGAGGCCTGGCAGCTCATCGAGCCCGTCGACGGATTCCACCCCGACCAGGTGGGGGCAGCAGCGCACGCGAGCCGAGAGGGCGCGCGGTGCGTGCTGGAGAGCCGCCCTTCGTGTGTGCCGTGCCGGCCTCCTTAAGAGGCGCTCCCTTACAGCACCGTCCCCAACAGTCTGTTGAAGGCCACGTGCTGTGAGGGGGAGCACAGGTGGTGTACAACTGGCAGTCTTCTCAGGCGCTCAACCCATGACCTCTTGCACATAGCCTGGCACATCAGTCAACTCCTAGCACCTGGGTCTGTCCCGTGACCCTCTTACCAGCAGCGAGCTTTCGACACTTCACGTGACAGCCTCAAAGTGCACCTCGCCTGGCACAAGTGCTGTGATAACGTAATCACCACTGAGTGGCCAACGGCAGTTGTTGCTGTTGCACTGTTTTGTGTGTACGCACGCACACACGGGTGTGTGTATGTAGTTGTGTTAAATAAGTGCCAGTGATTTGCTGCTCAAATGAGCATTCAATGCGAAACTCATCTCTTCTTTATAGCCCTGAGGAAGTGGTGGAAACTCGAAATACCTATTACAGGGGCGAGTTCATCTGAAAGTAATTTTCCCTGAGCGTATGCCCCAAGAGCACTTGTACGGAGATTGTGTGCAGGGTGCTTATTGAGAGTACGCGTGCACCGGCGCTCTGCGTGCACATGTACAGTATGCATATTGCACATTCTCAGAGTACCCAGAGCCTGAGTGTACACGTATGCGGTGTGCACACGTCCCCGCGTGCACCGAGAGCGTGCACGCTGCAAGGGCAACGCACTTGTGCCGGGTTTGTGTCCGTGTCTCGCAGACGGCCCTGGCGCTGATGGCCGGCATCCTGTGGGACGAGGTCATGCAGCGCTGGCCCGACGTCCTGGGCCCCGAGAATCCTCACAACGCCGACATCACCCGCGTGTTTGGCGACCAGGGTGGCCACTGAGCCCGCATGAGCCAACGCGGTTGCTCCAGGAGGCCGGGGCGCGGCGGAGCTGCACGCGATTCACGATCTCTGAATTCCACGATCAGTGACCTCACGTGGAGCCACCCTGGAACCCCAAGCAATCGGGGTTTACTCCCACGCGGCCTCACAAAAGGAGGGCGGCTATCCTTGGCTGAGATTGATTTATACATTTTAATAACTATCAGTAAGCCTTACATTTCAAATAGGATCAGGAAGTGGCCCACATGATGACAGCATGCCTCCTGTTCTGAGCTTAGTGTCATTGGTATAACTGATCACTGATAATTATTTCATTGGTTTAACCTCTCGTGTGATTCTCTTAGTTCACCATGATTGGCCAAGAAAGCCTATACATCAGCCGGTGCAAGTTAAGTTAATTTGTGTGACCAGGTGATAACTCAAGAGACTGGGATGAGTCTCATTTACAAGGATGACCTGGTGGAACAGAAAAGGGCATTTACTCAACCCCACGAGGAAGGCAGCGAGGTATTGCAGCCTACGGCCATCATCGGGATGCGCCAGTATGAGGCCGTCAGCATTTTCTGCTTTTGCACCGCCCGGAAGCTGGCATCATCGGAACGATTACCGAGAACGACGCCGGAAGAAGTACGGTCGTTTTCAGCTCTCTTCGCGGCCCCCGTCCCCCCTGCCGACTGCCGTCTCCGTTCACGGTCAAAGATTTCAGGTTTCACCGCTACCCATGACCGTTTCCAGAGAGCGCCTTCGCTCGCTGTTCAGCATCTCGGCATCTCCCTTCTCTGCCACCCTGGACATGCACGGCCCGTGTGTACGACGCCTTGAGGGACGCTTACAAGTGAGACGCTGGTACTCCTCGAGCATCACTGTCATGGCTGCCGTGTGTCCATCCTCCCAGCTGGGCTGCTGTCAACTTTGTGCAAACCGGTCAACGGGTCGTGTAACCTTGTGGCCGGAGAGATCACGGATAATTGAAATGCGTGTTTTTACGCCGTCAAACATGCTCGGCAACATTTTAGCCAAATTTGAAAATTGCCGGCAGGAGAAAATCCCGATACCCCGGGGGAGCCACGGGTCCCCTGCCCCGGCAGCAGCGGCAGCGGCAGAGATGCGACTGCGCTGAAGAACAGCGCTGCAAGGCAATCGCTGAATGTAGGGCGACCCCAAACAGCACCCAAGTGGTCCCCTCGTCCGCAGGCGTGATTGTGGATGCGGCCAACAGAGCGCCATCGCCGTGCCCGTGGGTGCCACACCAACGCCGATTAGCAGCGACCGTGTTCTTTGGATTAAAAGTATTTCTCCTGACACCCAAGGGGGCCTGGGCCCCCCAACCCTTTCTAGATTGCCGAACGCAGCCCCAAAACGTCAAGCGGCCAACATCAAACAGCATTGTCTTTTTATGACAGCTTAAGAGTCGGAGCATTTCTTGAATCTGAGCACGGGTCCGACAAAAGAAGCAGGCCTCTTGCGAACAAGATGTTCCATCTCGAGGGATCGTCTGGGTAAATTAGTTTATCAAATAATTAAATTCGTGTCCGTTGGAGCCGGCGGTGACACAGTGTCCCACCGCCGTGTTGCGGCCACTTCCATGCGTTGGCCTCGCCGCCCAACGCCGGCACGCTCGGCACCGCCACTGCAAAACACAGACGTGAAAACGACTGCCCGGCAGATGTGTCCTCAAACGCAGGGTGAGGCCTCTCCGGGCAAATGCGAACTATGCGAGGAATGCCGTGCGGTTCACGACGGGCAGAGGTCGCGGGCCATTAACAGCAGCACTTTGAACCCAGCCCCCAGCACCGCCCCCGTTCCACGCGGCCGTTAACGCAGAAACCGTAAATGCAGAACCGCTAACGACCACTTCCAAGAAAGAGGGGGGCCGTTTCCTCCTGGTGTGATTAGATGGGGTGGGAGGCTGTAAAGGGAGCGTCTAACTTCTGCTAAATTGGATGTGTACGGAATAGAGAGGGGGAAGGTAGAGAAGGTGGAGGGAGGTTGAGCAGGGATGGATGGAGGTCAGGGTGGCCATTGTGTCCGTGTCACGTCGCGCCTCACCGGCTTGCGCTGGGCTGTCCCTCGCGCACATCCTGGCTCCCAACCCATCACAGGTGTATATTTCAAATGTATGTAGAGGTGCACGATAAGTACAATACAACACACCGTTGGTTATGATTACAGCAGCAATTTATTATAAAAGGATTATTTGTACAGGACTAAATTGCACCAAATGTGTACAGAAAACCATGGAGAGAATATACTTCATGCTGCGCAAAGTGGCTTCAGAGAGAACTCCTTGCTATGATACTGCCACACGTGGGTAACGCACAGACACAGCCCCACACACACGCGCTGACCCACAGGGTGAGGTCAGGGGTGGGGACTGTGAGGTGCAGGGCTTGGAGTTCAGCATTTGGGGGTTCATTGATTCTCGGTTACAGTTGGCAGGGTTCTTGATTGGAGATTCAGGGTTCAACATTGAGGGGGTGTCAAGAACGAAGGGGTGTCAAGAACGGGTGGGGTTGGGAGAGTTCAGGTATTAGGGTTCAGGTTGGGGAAGTCATTTATTGGGGGTTCAGGGTTGGGGTTTAGTGGGAGCTGTGCCAGGGGACGCTGCTTGCGCAGTGTGGAGGAGCTGGCTCTCGGCTTGTCACGAGGCTCACCGACCCTGTGGTTCCACGTGGACCTCCCCATGGCCACTGCTCCCCCTGTACTGCGTTATAGTTGTAAGGCTGCTCATATGTTTACCGTGGATTCACGTTACGTACGTACCCTTTTTATTTAAAAGTTTAGAGCTAAATTTTTCAGACACTGTCGCATTTTAAAGCCATATTTTATGATTAGTTTCATTGTAAATCTCATCGCTTTAGTTCTTTGTTATTTCTATTCCAAAACACGCGTTACCAGTCTTACGAGTGAAATAACCGAGTTCCCAGCCCCCCGGGTCACTGCGGTCGCTACAATCACAGGGTTCCGCTCCACCAAGCCGCGCTGGCGATCACGCCGCAAGCACCGGTGCCGCGGCGAACTCCACGGCGCCGGCTCCGCTGCCGTCAACGCGAACCGCCGGGCACCGCGTAACGATCTGGCAGCGCGGGAGACTCGCACGTGGGCACGGGCGCGAGACTCGGAGCCGCGAGTTTACCGACCGCAAACGATCATGACAGCATTTACAATGCTTGTGAGGTTAGTCTCGAAGGGCCTGCGTCACGGCCCGTCTCTCGCGGGGAGCTACGCGTCTCGCAAGAGGACACCACGTATGAAGACATGCGCTGGACACGAAGGAGACCACGGACTCGTGTAATACGGACGGATTATTCCCATTAAATAAACGCCTACCTGCTACACGTCTACTTGATACACAGAACCGAGGGGACTGAAAATCACTGCACATTAATCTACCTTTACAGTCAAGGCTATGATAATTATCTTCACCTACCTATAAATTCCCTGGCTGTACACCCACAATACATTCATCATCCCAAAATGGTTTTAGAGCAGAACACTTGTCGGAAGAAACCAAATAATTTTTTTTGAGAAACGTTTTACGTGTTCTGCAAATCACGCAGATCCCAAGCTTGCGGGTTTTTTTTTTACCTGAGACGTTTTGGGTTATTTTCTGTTTTAACAGACTTGAGAAATGCCTTTAACAGCAACGCACGCTGTGACTTCTGTTGATCAGAAAACATGTGGGTCTTGGACCAGCACATTTCCAGAGAGGTCTGTGTTGATATATATAGTTACATTATTGTATTATTCTTGTGCTTAAAAACGAACTTAACAAATAACAAATTAATCCATCGAAAAGAATTTACTCCTCACACGGCAAAAGCTGCGACCATCGGAGCAAACGTCGGCCAGTCTCCATTGCCACGCGGCGGTGGCACAAAGCCAAAGCCCCTGTCCATGCGCAGCACGATCCAACCAGACTTGACACACCAAACGCCAAACCAGCCATGCTCCTCTCGCTAAGGTTTTTGGTGAGCGCTTGGTAAAGCTCTGAGCACGACTTAATCGCTGGTTTCCAAACACCGGCACCGCGTGTGCCCTCGAACCTCGCAGAGTTTGCGCTCGAGGCCAGCTTTCGTGAATCTGTAACGGTCCGCGCTCACGGCCACAGAGTCCGGCCGCACTTTTGGTTCGAGGTCGCGGGGACGTCGCGGTCCGGCCGGGTAGCGACCTCGGGTCATGGCCGCCGGGCCCGCGACCGTCACCGAAGGTCGGAGCGCCCCACCGGGGATGTGACGTAACTAAGGGGCGCAACCGAGAGTGAGTGTCGTCTTTTCCTCCGACCCAGGAAACCGGCCACGGCACTCGGGTACAGTTTCCAGCGGGTACAGTTTACAGCGGGGACATTGAGACCGACAAAATTCACCGCTGGTCAGTGAGAGTACGTGGGACAGGACTGCAGGACTCCACAGTACACACACATGGCCCACAGTACACACACAGTACACGCAGGGGCCCACAGTACACACACACAGTACAGACAGGGGCTCACATTACAACCAGAGGGCCCTGCAATACCCACAGGGTTCCTGTAGAACACGGTAGAACTACAGGGCCCCACAGAACAAGCAGTACACACCAGGGCCTGCGGAATGTGGCGTACAAAAACACGAATTGATTATGGTGCAACACAGTGGGTGACGACAACAGGACGTGATTTCGCCATGCTGTGCAATCACTGTTCGCATTTCCACGTGTGTTCACCGTGAGGTAGAGGGTGGAATGAGGCGAGGATGACGCAGAACAGATGAGGTAGGTGGATTGGTGGCGGTGCCAAAGGCGCCGCTTTGGGGGGGGTGGGGGGTGGCGACGAGGCTGGCACGCGGGGGCGAGGGCGATAGCGCCCGACCCTGGTTTGACTGCCCTGAGCGTGACAAGCGGGGGGCGGGGGGGGGGTACACTCAGGGCCCCCCGCTCCTCCCCGTGAATGCCCACTATAAATACTGCACGTGGCATGACGCGGGACACCCCGCCAGCGCTACGTGCCGCGGAGGCGGCTACGAAAGTGAAATTGGGCTGTGACGCAACAACCGCTTCGACTGTAAACGCCGCCCGCCAGGTGCTGGGGCGCACCCACCATGGCGGCGCTACGATCCAACCGAGAGAGAGAGTTGCCCGCAAACGGCAACAATGCGGGCACAGCCAAATAACTCACGGCTGTCGATTCCACGGTTGAGAGAGTCGAGCGGTCGACATTCAAGGAAATGGCGGAACAAGGCCGGTGTTACCGTACACCACCGCGAACGGGAAGTCGTAAAACGTGTCCCGGGAACGCGGCAACGAACGTGCGCGGCCGAGGGGCGGGTAGCGGCGAGCGAGCGAGCGAGCGGCGAGGCCGGCGGGGAGAGTTTAAGGCAGAGACCGGTTCTGAACGGACAGCACCCGAGGCTCTCCGGGGCGGCGCGGGAGGAGGGCGACGGAGGTAGATCATCGATGGCGGCTGCTCAGCCCCGTGGCTGGCACGGAGACAAGCCCATGGACGTGGGTTCAGTGAGACGGTGCCGCACTGAGGGCGCTTTGAGGTAAAACAAAACAGCTTTCAAAAGACGAGCGGCCGGTTGCATTAAGTGTTTTTCATGCGAAACTTCCACCATCAATGCCAAACCGAGGGGACACTCCACTCGAATTGTTTCTGCAATCGGCCAGTCTAGCTACTACTAACTGTACAATCCTGTAGCTCTATAAACATGTCGGTACGACCCATGCTGGCATACACGACGGTTAAGCACGAAGTGGTTTTAACGCCGCGGTGTGGGAACGAGCGGCGCTCGCGCAAGGTGGCGGCTGCGCGGCTTCAAGCCGACGGTGAACGACGTCGGGGCCTGGCGGAGCGGTTACACCTGTGGCGCCACTGCTACCCCCCCCCACCGTCATCGGCCGAGCCCTGCCAGCCAGCACGGCCACGGCTTCCGCGCGTCGCGTGTAGGGTATAAATAAGGTCAGTAGTCTGCGAGCGATCGACAGTGTTTGAGGTACAGCGAGATAAATAAGAGATAAATACAGCGACACTGTCGTCTCCAATGTCTGTGCTGTTGCTGCTGCTCACGGCGAGGTAGCTCAAACGGTCCCAACGCGAGCGCAGCGCCGCGTACATTCTCACCCAACCCTCGCCACCACCGCGGGGGCTGCCCAGCCTCGTCCCATCCCTTGGCAACTAAAGAACACAATCAGCAAGGCAGAAAATGGAAGATAATGCAGCCTTGGGAAATAAAATATATATTTCAGACTAAAGCTAGCGGGAAGGTTAGGGGTGAGCATATTAAAGCTATCTGTCGTGGACAAACGGCCCGGCAGAGGTGAGGAGAGTGGACGGGTTCAGAGCGGGGCTCACCCTGGCTCCACCCTGCTCCACCCTGGCTCCACCCTGGCTCCACCCTGCCCCTGGAGCCGCGGTGGCCCCGGGCAGCTCCAGTGCACACGTCAAGGCTCTATGAATGGAAATTCAAGTTTCATAAAGACTAACCAAGCTGGGCTGCATCATTATTGAGAGTAAACAGCGAAATATTATTGCAAAAGGCGATCGGTTTTACAAGAGGGAGCTTTCTGTGTCTTTACACGCAGCAATCCCACTTTGAAAACAACGAAAAGACAAGTCGTGCCCGGTCTTGTCGTGTAATGTCACGATCCCGCTAGCCTTGACTGAGATAAACGCAAAAGCCGAGTACGTGACCGCACGCGGAGACACACTGAGACAAAATAAACCGTGAAGCGCTCGTAAAGCACTGACAGGCTGATGAGGCAACAGAAAAGTGAGGTAGATAGATCTCTAGTGGATGGCTCACGGGGACACGAGCGGCCTGCTAGCGCCGGGCGCCAACGACGTGTCGCCGTGCGCCGCGATGGCAGTGCGTGCATGCGGGGGGGGGGGGGGGCGTGCGCGCGTCGCTCTGCCACGCATGCGCGCCGCACGCTCTCTTTGGTCAGCTGAGGTAGCTTGCATGTGATGCCAACGATTCCTTCCTACTGTCTCGGACAGAACTCTTTCCCTGAGGGACCTTGTGTGTGGTTTTCATCATACATTCAGTGAACATTTAGAGGTTTTTTTTTTTAAATTAAATTTCTGTGCAAATGGCGTTGGCCTGAACACACGGACACCGGAAAACCACCCCGGGTACTCGTGGGCGCGGGGCTCGCATGGACGCCGGGTACACGCGGGTACAAGGAACACCAGGGGACACGTTAACACCGGACAGGGCTTGATTTCTCAATGAATACTCTCCGAATCGCAGACACGGACGCGCCGGATAGCTGAAATCAAGCCCTGGCACCTGGTGCACACTATCGCCAAGGTTCGCCTGGAATCACAGGGCACCAGGGATGTACCAACGGCGTGGTGCCAGCCGTGTTGTGGCCACCCGGAGGGGTCGCAGTTTACCGAGCGAGTGAGCGAGCTCCTATCACTCGTTTACCCTACTCGCGTCTCGTTTGTCGGGTAGCGTCGCCGCTGTCGTCGCGAGGGCGCCGACGATAGCCACGAGACACCACGTCGTGGGCGTCCGGGCGGAACGGTCGGCCGCCCCGGTGCGGCGTTCCCTGCGAGTCCGCTCGCCACCGCTCGGTGGCCTCAAAGTGCTGATTTGAAACACGGCAGCCTTTGTGTCGCCAACACGGAGAGTGAAAATGGACAGCTCTAAGCTCTGGGCTTTCTAACACAAGCGACTTTAAACGCCCGCGCGTGTAACGGGGGCCAAGTTCGTCTTCTCAGACTGCCGCACGGACGGGACACGAAAACCTCGAGCGAGGAGAGGGAGAGAGAGCGCGCCGCGCGGACCGTGCACCCCGCGCATCGACCCCCGATGCCGACGCCTGCGGCTGCAAAGCAAAACCCATGGGGCGGCACTGCACGGCCGCTTGTGCTTTTACGATACCAGGCCGCCGAGCCTCACACAAGCAGGCACTTCAGTGACCCTTCGCTAAACGTAAACACGGTCAATCGGATTCAATTCAAGGATGTATAAAGCGTCGTTTTCTGAGAAAATTCCGTGTCCGTTAAGAGAATTAGGAAACGCGAGCAGTATTACTGCCCCGTTTGTTCACAATATTCATAATTTAATTGAATTCGCCGAGAGAGTAAAACTGCGTCTCTGATGAATCCCCCTTTGTCTATGCCGTGCATGCTCCACGTACGCCCGTGTACCGTGTGCAATTTGAGTGACAGGCCGACCGTGTCGTGAAGGCGGTCACGGCAGACACCGCCAACCACGCGGGTTTGCTTTGCGAGCGAGGCACCCCGCTGGCCGACGCACCCGCCGGCCTAGTACACCACCACGCGATTGTTCCCGAAGTCGACAACCACTATGAGGCCCTCGGGAGTGACGGCCACGCCCGACGGGCGGTCCATCTGACCGGGCCCGCCGCCCGGCGCTCCGAACTGGCACAGGAAGGCGCCGTCCGGCTCGAACACCTGCACGCGGTGGTTTCTCGAGTCGGCCACGGCGATGCGGCCTTCGGGGTCCACGGCCACGCCCTGCGGCCGCAGGAACTGGCCGGGCCCTGAGCCGGAGCCGCCCAGGAAGCGTGCCGAGCGGCAGTCGGGCCGCACCACCAGCAGCCGGTGGTTGTTGAAGTCGGTGACGAGGAGGCGGCCCTCGGCGTCGAAGGCAACGCCACGTGGCGAGTCAAAGTGCTTCCAAAGCGCACCCTCGAAACCGTACTTGTTGACAAAGGCGCCGTCGGGCGAGAAGAGCTGCACGCGGTGGTTGCGCGTGTCGGATACGAGGATGAGGCCGTCGCCGGGGCTCACCGCCACGTCCCACGGGTAGCAGAACTGACCGCTCTCACTACCGCGCTCGCCGAACGTGGAGAGCACGCGACCTTCGCCGGAGAAGATCTGCACGCGGTGGTTGTCCTTGTCCGACACCACGATGCGGCCGCCCCGGCCCGGGTCCCAGGCCACGCCCGCCGGGCGGTCGAACTGGCCGGGGTGGGAACCGTGGGCGCCAAACTTGAAGAGGAAACCTCCGCTGGGACCGAACACCTGCAAACGCGTGACAGGGTTCCGCGATCATTTTGCCGCACGCGCGTTCGGCACAGATCGGGCACGATTCGAAGCAATGCGGCGTAGCCATGCCGGGACTGCTGGGGCCGTACCTGGATGCGGTCATTGCTCCTGTCGGCGACAATCACACGACCCTCGCTGTCCACGCACACCCCCCACGGACGACACAGCTGACCATCCCCCGTGCCGCCACCTACAGCATACGGGCGACAATGGCGATGCGACCGGAGCGGTTAGGACTCGCGAGCTCAGGGGAACGTGGCACACCATGGACCTCCCGGGTTGCAGGACAAAAAGAGAGGACAAATAACAAACGGCTCCCGTGATATTCACACTGAGGGTGCGTGTCTCCTTGGATACTCAACTAGAGTTTGAAACTTCTCTCATGAGAAAATCACTTTAGAGTGACACACACATGGTGTGCGTGTCCCAGGCTGCGCAACACACACTTGACGCTTTGTTAAAAGATCAATGTGACGGCGACAGTCTGCCACTCCAAGATGGGATCTCACCGCCATACGCAGTAACGTGACTATGGCGCAGTGAAGGAGTGCCTGATGGCAGGTATTCATTTCTCCCCGAGTATACAATCCGACCTGATGGCTCAGCGCTCGAGTAAGCGGGTCGCTATCTGAAGGTTGAGAGTCCAAATCTTACATACAGGGGTCTATAAAATGAGTGATTTATCCGATGGACCAAATTATCCATGCCATATGAATGTTAAATCTTTGCGACTGGTTCAGGTTTGTAAGCAGATGAGCACTGCCTCAATGCTCATGTGAGCAGCAGGAGCTCACTTTGGTATACTGGAGTGAATCTTGAGACAGTGAGACGAGGCCTAATTGAGGTGGTGTGCCGGCATTGGAAACGTCTTCTGATCACCGACCTAGATAGTTTCGGATGAAATTAGGCCCTGCCTGACTGTGTTTCACCATAATGAAGCTTCAAAGTGGTATTGGACAGACGTAGGGCTAGAGACCCAATTACAAGACCCTGGTTCCCCTCCAATCGGCCGCGCATCCCTCACCTCCGAATGTGATGGCCGGTTTGCCGATGCCGGCATAGCTGCGTCCCGGCCGCACGAGCACGCGGAAGGGGCTTCCCTCGACGTGCCGGCCAAGCACGGTGACCGACACGGTGTGCTCGCCGTCGGCGGCGGGCCGGTAGCTCACGCCGTAGGTGCCATCCTGCTTGTCCCGCACCTCAGCCCACGCCGCGCGCCCGTCCGGGCCCAGTGCCGCGGCGCACACGGGGTCCCCGCCCGTGCGCCGGAACTCCCCGCCGTGGTCACGCGTCACCACCGTGAACGACGCCAGGCGCCCTTTGACCTGCAAGCGGCGGTGCCAGCGGCCGCCCCAGCAAGATCGAGTCTCAGGCGAGAGGCGCTTGACACAACGGCCCTTGGGGGGGGGGGTTTCTCTTTTACAGTTGCTGAGCACAGGTCCAAACGTCAAATGGCCAGCAACAAACAGCACTATGAAAGTTGCAATGGATACGAGAGTAACCTGTTTAGCTTTGGAAAAGAGACAAATGGCGGGGTGGGGGGGAATTCTACAATAGAGCAATGCGAGGGGAAAAAGCAGCAAGAGAAGTGTTTAGATTTAATGCTTTCGTGACCGAAAGAACCAAAGAAGAAGAGAAGTGTTGTGACCTGCAGTGTGGTGATTGGGGGTAGCGAATGAATGAGTGGGTGGTTGCGTGGATAATTGAGTGATTGAGTATGTAAGAGTTGGCGAGTGTGTTTGGTAGTTAAACAGTACGAATGAGACGACAACATTGGTGGAGGAATCAAGTTCACAGGAACAGTAGCCATGGTCGTAGCGATTGGAAAGTAATGGGTCGTGGGTTGGAGGGTGAATGGCAATGTACCATGGCCAGTAGCGCTGAGAAACATCACCAACCAAGCGACATTAACAGCGGCGTCTGGGTCGTATGTATAGCGCGACCATGAAGGGCGTCGATGTCATGATAATAACACAAATAACTTCACACAATCACAGACGCCTACAGCACACGTACCTTCAGCTGGGACGGGGGCAGTCAACCCCAGCAGGCAAACTACGTGAGCTGCAGGGTTTGTGGTGATGATGGTAGGCCCAAGCCTTTAGAGGTTAAGCAACACCGAGCACTGCTCTGTGATGAGGAGCGGTCCCAGTGTAGGCTGAATGGGCCGTCGAGGTTGGGGTCATTTGAACACGACTGCGTTTGAAGGTCCTGCCAAGTTTTCGCAGTAAGGGGCGATGTAGCTGTGTGTGTGTGATCCCAATTGTGTAAATTACAGGTAACGTGTCAACATTGGGATGTTTCGCCAATACAAGTTACACTGGATATTTTTTTAGCTATGGGAGGAAACTGGAAACCCAGAGGTAAACCATTCAAAACAGCAGAAACAAATTCTACACAGAAAGGTGCCCGTGTCAGGAATCGAACCCAGGCCCTTCTTGCCTTGAAGCGCGAGCGTAACCACTACGTCACTCTGCCGCCCTGTGAACTGACGAGAGTAAATTCGCAACCACGTGACTGGGCAACAGGCTCTGTTATGAGTACGTGTGGAGAGGCTCCGTACCACTTTGGTTAGGCCCTCCCCAGCCACGGTGGAAAGCTCGGGGCAGGCCCCGCTCTGCACGGCACCCAGCGTGCGGATGGCGGCGTAGAGCGCTGCGTCGGGCGGCACGAACACCACGCGGTCGTCCTCTTGTGGCTGCTGTGGGGGCGAAGGGGCCCCGGCGGTGCCCAGCCCCACGATATCCCGAAGCTGGGCAGCCACGCGGGCCCGCACGGCCCCGAGGGCCTCGGCATCCGCCCCGGCCTCCAGGGCGGCACGCACACTCTCCACGGCGGAGTCGAGTCGCGCCAGGCTCTGCCGCAGCTCCTCCAGTTGCCTCTGCAACGTCTGCGTCTTCACCTGGCGGATCTTTTCGACCTGCGCGTGGCCAGGACCGGGTGCCCATTTGGATTCCAAGCAGCTCGACCTCATACGTACGGCACGTAACTTATCCGCAAATCTTATAGATCCTATGTGTAACCCAGCTCTTATCTCGTCGATGTTAACGTTTCAAAAGCCTTACTCAGTGGAGCTCTAGAAGAGATCTCATAACGAGCACCACTATGGGTCGACTTCAGTAATAAAACAGGAGACGGTAATGCATGGACGGTGCGAGTTTTGACAAGGGCATGCGCAAAGCCAGAGGAGGCGGCACCTCTGCGCCTGCGCGGTGCTACCGGCGGCACTTTCCCACCTTCCGCAGCAGCTCGCACTCGCGCTCGTCAAGGGCCTTGCGGTGCACGGACACCACCGCCTTCACCTCGGCGCGCACCTGCTGCGCCCGCATCTCCACCTGCTCCACCATTGCCTGCGCACGGTCCAGGCCCAGCTGGACACGCGGAGCACAGGCGAGGTGCGTGTCACGCACAAGCACGGACGCACGCACGCAAGAGTCTAAAGCTGGGCCCCCACATGAGCGATACGTCGCCCAACAAAATGGCTCTCAAACTCACGCAACTCAATCATCGCCTGCAACAGCTTTGTCCATATCTTAGCGACCGGTTGCACAAGGGGTGTGGCCATACACTTTAGCCACGCCTCTTACAGCACAGCCCCACCCCTTCTCTGTATAGCGTCACCCTCACCCACACCAGGATTGTAACAGCCAATCATCAAAGTTATCAAATGTGCAGCATGTAATGAAACCAAGTTGCTCACTAATATGAATGGGCAACACTGATACATTCATACACTCATACACATTCATATAAACACATACATACACTCATACAAACACTCATACACTTATTAATACATTTAAACAGATACTTATACACCCATAATATAGGTTTTTGGATGTATAAGTTAGACACTTATACACACATTCATGCATCCCGGGACCTGTTAAAATAATAAACGTGCATAACGTCGTCAAAACTGGATGACCAGCACAACCCCACAACCTGCACAACCCCACGACCTGCACAACCTGCACAACCCCACAACCTGCACAACCTGCACAACCCCACCACCTGCACAACCCCACAACCTGCACAACCCCACAACCTGCACAACCCCACAACCTACACAACCCCACAACCCCACAACCTGCACAACCCCACGACCTGCACAACCCCACAACCCCACAACCTGCACAACCTGCACAACCCCACAACCTGCACAACCTGCACAACCCCACAACCTGCACAACCCCACAACCTGCACAAACTGCACATCCCCACAACCTGCACAACCCCACAACCTGCACAACCCCACGACCTGCACAACCCCACGACCTGCACAACCTGCACAACCCCACAACCTGCACAACCTGCACATCCCCACAACCTAACGAGGAAATTATCTGAGGTCGCAGCTGGAATGCAGCGAGCGCTGCGCTCACTCCCGCGTCGCTCGGACCACCACCTCCACTACGCACAGGCCCCGCAGCGGTGTGAGACATCGCAGACACTGAGAGGGACATCTCCCTCGGTGCAGCTGCACACAGTCCCTCCCAGTGAACTTGCAAATCTGGGTGTGAGCCTCTGCACCCCCTACCCCCCGCAGCCGTGTCCATTCACCAATCCCCGACCTCAAACGCCGTTAACCGCCCCCGCGCAGCCTCTCCGTCTGAACCAACGGCCATCACCATGCCGCCACTTCTGGGCTTGGCGGCGAGCGCCACCCGGGCCTCGCCCGCAAGCCGCCGCCCTCCATTTCCCAGCAACAGCCACTTGCTGGTCCCCTCCCCCACCCGGGACCGTAAACCCATGGCACTCTCCGTCCCATGGTCCCGGCAGAGATGTATGGCCGAGGCCGCTTGCGTACAACACGCTACATCTCTCTCCCCCAGAGGTGGCAGAACGCCACCACCCCCCACCCCACCGTGTTTGAGCATGTCATGTGATGTGCGCCCCACAACCGCGCGGTGTGGGTAGCAAGGAGCACGAATGAGTGGAGATCGAGCGAGGAGCGTGTGGAGAGCGGGGAGTGTGACTAAACAGGGGGGTGAGAGGGAAGTTGCAGGAAGAGTGGGCAGCAAATGGGGAGATATGTAGAAAGTGGTGAGTGAAGGGGGAGTGAATAAGGAGTGAGTAGGGAGCATGTCGAGCGTGAGGAATGCGTGGGGAGACAGGAGGTTGTAGGTAGTATGAATGAGTCAACAGCGAGTAGTGTGTAAGGAGCGAGCGGGGAGCAGGTTGAGAATAGGGAACTCACGGGGAGCGTGAGCACGCGTAAAGAGAGGGGGGAGCGAGTGGGAAGTGAGAGGGGGTGATGGTGGGTCACCTGTATGGCTTGCCGGCCCTGCTGCGCGTCCGTGAGCATCTGCAGCGCGAGCGATCGCGAGTCGTGTGAAGGTACCGGGAGGTAGACCACCTCGTGACTCGAGTGACCGTCCCGTGCGCACTCGCGACACAGCGACAGTGCGCACGTCTCACAGAACAAGCGTCCGGCCTGCACGGCACCACGGGCGCACACACACACCCGGAGAGATGCACAAATGTTACAAGGCACTCTTGCTTAAGGATGCGCGATTAATACAACGACATTGTGATCGTTAGGCATGCAGCGACGCATCAATTCAAATCGATTCTTATGCTCACCGTACATGCACCTGAGAGGGAATCCCTTTTTCAAATGTACAAATGATCATATTACATTGAGGCTCATGCATGAGAGCATAACTGAAGACAAGGTACAGAATTAAACGAGAAACAATGATACACGCCATACAAAATACTGAGCAAAGTGGGCTTGGCCAGAGCACGTCATGGCCATAAGGGAAGATGGACGATGGTCAAGGGTAATAAAGGAGTGGCAGCCAAGGAATGGAACGCTTCCGAGAGTCCGTTGACCTAGGAAATGGAGCGATGAAATCGGTGCGAAGGAGCTGGATGTATTGTTGTATCACAAGATCATGAGAAGTGGTGGCTGCTTGGGGAGGCCTTCATCCAACAGTGATTCAGATCATGGCTGCTGCTGCTGATGGTGGTGGTGATTATATCACAGTATTCTTTTATAAAATTGTGACCATGAATAAAAACACTCAGTAACGTCTCAGAGTCCCTCCTTGCTCTAGGAACCTGTTTGGCTCTGTGGGATCAACTTACCCTCAGTCTCCACAGGCACCCTGCAACTCTCCATGGTAGAGCCCAACCACGCTGTGTTCAACCGCCACACTGCAGATCACAACTCACTCTTAGACTCACTCACCCACCACACTGCAGGTCACAACTCACTCACTCTTCGACTCACTCACCCACCACACTGCAGGTCACAACTCACTCACTCAGACTCACTCACCCACCACACTGCAGGTCACAACTCACTCACTCTTCGACTCACTCACCCACCACACTGCAAGTCACAACTCACTCACTCTTCGACTCACTCACCCAGATCACAACTCACTCACTCTTCGACTCACTCACCCAGATCACAACTCACTCACTCTTCGACTAACTCACCCACCACAATGCAGGTCACAACTCACTATTCGACTCACTCACCCACCACACTGCAGGTCACAACTCACTCACTCTTCGACTCACTCATCCACCACATTGCAGGTCACAACTCACTCACTCTTCGACTCACTCACCCACCACACTGCAGGTCACAACTCACTCACTCTTCGACTCACTCACCCAGATCACAACTCACTCACTCTTCGACTCACTCACCCAGATCACAACTCACTCACTCTTCGACTAACTCACCCACCACACTGCAGGTCACAACTCACTATTCGACTCACTCACCCACCACACTGCAGGTCACAACTCACTCGCTCTTAGACTCACTCACCCACCACATTGCAGGTCACAACTCACTCACTCTTCGACTCACTCACCCACCACACTGCAGGTCACAACTCACTCACTCTTAGACTCACTCACCCACCACACTGCAGATCACAACTCACTCACTCTTAGACTCACTCACCCACCACACTGCAGGTCACAACTCACTCACTCTTAGACTCACTCACCCAGATCACAACTCACTCACTCTTCGACTAACTCACCCACCACACTGCAGGTCACAACTCACTATTCGACTCACTCACCCACCACACTGCAGGTCACAACTCACTATTCGACTCACTCACCCACCACACTGCAGGTCACAACTCACTCACTCTTCGACTCACTCACCCACCACATTGCAGGTCACAACTCACTCACTCTTCGACTCACTCACCCACCACACTGCAGGTCACAACTCACTCACTCTTAGACTCACTCACCCACCACACTGCAGATCACAACTCACTCACTCTTAGACTCACTCACCCACCACACTGCAGGTCACAACTCACTCACTCTTCGACTCACTCACCCAGATCACAACTCACTCACTCTTCGACTAACTCACCCACCACACTGCAGGTCACAACTCACTATTCGACTCACTCACCCACCACACTGCAGGTCACAACTCACTCACTCTTCGACTCACTCACCCACCACACTGCAGGTCACAACTCACTCACTCTTCGACTCACTCACCCACCACACTGCAGGTCACAACTCACTCACTCTTCGACTCACTCACCCAGATCACAACTCACTCACTCTTCGACTCACTCTCCCAGATCACAACTCACTCACTCTTCGACTCACTCACCCAGATCACAACTCACTCACTCTTCGACTAACTCACCCACCACACTGCAGGTCACAACTCACTATTCGACTCACTCACCCACCACACTGCAGGTCACAACTCACTCACTCTTCGACTCACTCACCCACCACACTGCAGGTCACAACTCACTCACTCTTCGACTCACTCACCCACCACACTGCAGGTCACAACTCACTCACTCTTCGACTCACTCACCCACCACACTGCAGGTCACAACTCACTCACTCTTAGACTCACTCACCCAGATCACAACTCACTCACTCTTCGACTCACTCACCCACCACACTGCAGGTCACAACTCACTCACTCTTAGACTCACTCACCCACCACACTGCAGGTCACAACTCACTCACTCTTAGACTCACCCACCACACTGCAGTTAACAAAGCACTCATATATCCACTCGCTCACTCACCACACTGCAGGTCACTTATCCCTTTGCTTCTTCCCTCACGCTGCTGCACTTTGGACTTCTCCCTCTCATCTGATCTTTCCCCATGCTCTTGTAACTTTTCCTCAGGCAAAGAGATGCATGAGTTTTTACCTATTATCACGTTGATGCTGTTGTTTGTCGCTGGTCACTTGGCGTTGTGGGCCTTTGCATCCGGCAACCTTATTGGGTGTCGTCGTATTTTGTCACGAGGCCGACGAACACGAAGCCAAGCGCGAGCACCGCCCCGCTCGAGGCCGAACTCGTCACGGAGCCGGGGTGAGCTCCACGCGGCCGCGACCGGCGGAGCCCGCCGCTACGGCGTGATAGTTGTTGCTCCGTTTATATTTTTGTTATATGTTCAAAAATATAAAAACACAGCAACAAATATCGTCCCATACGCGGCAGTGCAGGAGCCATGCGGGACCCACACCAAAGCACCCCCCCCCCCCCGCGCCGCTCACTGGAGCGTGGAAGCTATCCCGGGTCACTCGCCAAAAACAAAGCGAGGCGAGGAGAGTCAGAGGCCAGAGGGGCCCCCTCCCCTCATCCCCCTCCCCTCAGCCCCCTCCCCTCAGCGCCCTCCCCTCAGCCCCCTCCCCTCAGCCCCCTCCCCTCAGCCCCCCCTCCCCTCAGCCCCCCTCCCCTCAGCGCCCCCACCCCCCGGCCCGCGGATGCAGTTCGATCGCTCCAAGGGAGGCGGCGTGAATCGGAAGCAACGGAAAATCTCTCCCGGTCGCCGTGGCAACGGCCGCCCCCTACCTCGCCTCTCCCCTCGCGCACGCAGGGGGCACTTAGCTCGCCACGCACATTCACAAGCGGCACTCACCGCACCGTACGCAAGGCGCCCAGCTCACCACGCACACGCAGGCACCGCGCTCAGCTGCCCACGCACGCGCAGTACACACGGCACTCATCTCACCACACACTCGCGCACACTCTGCTTATACGAACCTCGGCCCACTCACCATCACATATACAACCAATCCCAATTTACTAGGAATGTATGCTACCCTGCTCACCATCACATGCACCAACAACAGACAAAGATCCCCCCAATAGCCCAGACTTTCGGTGCAAGTGCTGTTAGCGAGCACATATTATGGCCGTTCCCCACTCATCCCATCCCGTGCACCCTGCGAGGCGACCTGCTTCCACTGAGGGCACAGCCGTCTGGAGAGACACGCTGCACGCTTCCAATGTAACTGGCGGAGGGGCAGGGTGGAAGGAGAAGAGAAGAGGCATAAGGGCAGCGACTTGGGGTGGCAGGAGGGGACTAGCCAAACGGGGGGGGGGTCGGGCAGGAAGGGGCCTCACGGCGCTCCCCCCCTCGACCGGCACCGGCAGCACCGAGCGCGGGTTGGGGTGGCGCGGGGCACCGGCCTCGGATTGCGCGTCACAACCCAGCGCTTCCGTGCCGCACGGAGGAGTCTGTGGCCGATGCATAAACACCCTGCGTGGGATTCCCCCGATTGTGCAGTTCAAAAGACGTATCGGGCAAACGACTATCGCGCTAATACACTCATACATTAATTCACAGAAACACTCATACACGCATTCATACAAACATTCATACACGCATTCATACAAACACTCATACACGCATTCATACACATTTAAAACAAACATATACACATGCTCTGAATGTGGCTGCGTGGCCATCGCTCAGTAGTCAGCAGAAGGCCTGTACAAATCTCATGCACACTACGGGAAGACACCGTTTTCGATGGAATAAACGCCGCCGTGTCTTTCCTGAAGGGCGATGTTTACGATTGTTTGTTTATATTTAACACTGACTGCATGGGTCCAAAACGTCAAACAGCCAGCAACAAACAGCATAATCACAGTCGTAATAGATAACGAGTTAACGTTTCTTTAAGTGAGCAAGGTTATGAGAGCCTGGGAAAAGAGACGATGGCCCAGTGCGAGGGACAGAAGCAAACATCTAATTGTGACCTTCAGTGATGTCCCGGTGGGTTATGGGTAATAAATTGATAAATAAATCAGCGCACATTTTTACCACGAAAAAATAAACTGACATGCGGCCCATCGGCATTCTGCACCATTGCGTTCCACAGTTTACGTGACTGTGCTGTGCAAAAGGGCCATCGCCCAAAACGTCGCCTATAATGCATTTGTTGCTTTTTAAGGTCACAGCTTCAATGACGGAAGGTGTTATTTATGCACCCCTGCCGATGCAGCAACAGCACCAAGTAATTTATTCCAGAAACCCCACAGGCCGATTTACCTAATGGTGTTTAATTTAATTTATCGCGCAGTGAAAAAGAGCTCTCGTCTGGTTATTCACTGGAAGCAGTTCATCCCATTGGGCGGCGCGGGACTCACTGCACCCGGCCATCGTCCTCCTCACTCC